ATAAATATAACAAAAAGTTGTTATATTACGTTAGATATACCTACTAAACGGGAGTGTAATTGTTTTGCCCCTTATTTAAGAATACGTACTTTAATAATTTAGAGAATTATACGTTTGACAAAATGGAGTAAGTAAGTATTTCTAAATAACTTAGTCACTACTAAACTGTGAACTGAACGAAAAACTTGAAAAATTGACAAATATTATTCTCACCTTTAGGTTATTTTTTACAGAGGCTGGTTTGATCCCTCAACTTTCGCTTTTATGACTGAAGTAAATGAAAAATTCAGGATACTGAGATTTGTGTCCCAAAGGGTTCGTAAAAGCAACGATGAAGAAGTTTATAGTTAGAATGGTTTGGTTCAGTTTATGAACAAATGTAAGTTGATTAAATTTTAAAAGAATAGTCAGTGAGTTAGACTTGTTTTTTCGATTAAGGGCTAGAATTTTTTCTTAGAAAATAAATTAGTAAAAACAAGAAAGTATAACTCCCACCGTTTTGAGTTCAAGACTAAGGTCAAAATGTTACAGAAATTAATTTACTTAAGTACACGAACTTTAAAGAAACAGCATTTCAAAGGTCATTTAACTTTCCGGTAGGCTAACTAACAGTTCTAAAATATAAACAACCGGATATATTGTAGATAGGCATGTACTTCTACTGACAATTTTTATATCTGAAACTATAAAACCTAATCTTTTGTGCTATAACTACTTACGTGGTCACCGATTTCTGGCTATTGTCCGCTAATGATTTTTTTTATTAATTATACTACAATTAAGTGTTGCGTTAGAATAACAAAGAATTACATTTATTGTTGTGACACGATGGAAAACAATTAACAATGCATTTTAAATATGCTTGATGGGTTATTGTCATTGTTATTTAATTTCACATATTAAAATGATAATATGAATTTCACGCAGATTATTTAACTTATACATAACGCAGTATTCCTTTATTCAAGAATATTTTTGCTCATTTCCTGTTGTCGAGCATTTTATTTAAATTCATATCCAGCACCAAACGCTTTCCGTTAAGACACAAATACAATTTTGTAGCACAACAGAAGTAAATATAATACATTTTCCTTTGAAGCAAATTTAGAAAATGAGAAACCAGTTAGATTAAAATATGGAAATTGAGCTTTTAACATTGTTTTTTTGAACAGCACGTTATTTCGTTTTCATTTCCATTTGCTCCCTTTAAACAATTCATTATGTTTGTACAGCGAAACGAAACTGTGAGAGAGTTCTTTTTTAATTTCATACTTGTGTGTTGATCTGGTGCAACTTTGAAGTTTAAGCTTCAGCAAAAAATTATAATTTGTCTCCAACGTAAACAGTGCTAAAAGCTTTTGCTGGTCATAAATTTGATGTAATGAGGTTGAACAATGAAGGTCTTAGTTGCGGAATGGGACAGAACATGAAAATAGCAGAGATGTTGTCATAAAATACACAGTTAGTTACATTTAAATTAATTACTTAATAATATAATTAGTCTGTTCCATTTTTAAGAAAAAATTAATGAGTCTAAAATTTTATTATTAGTTTGTTATATTTGATAAGAATTTAAGAAACATTGAAGAAGTTTCGTTAAGCACTTATTCTAACAGGCAGGAATCACCTGTTTGATTTTATTTTCACCCAGCAACAAATCTAGACCTCATTCAGCTGAAGTAATCGATTACGGCCATAATGAAACAGCACGTACGTTAAGCACGTAATTAACAATATAACAAAGCGGTGTCAAAGTTAAATACTTCATTACCATTTTTCATATCTAATTATTCTAAAAATGAACAACAAAATTCCGGAAAAATGTACCCAGTAGAAGCAAACTTTCGATGCTAATTCTCGACAAATAAACTGCTTAAAGTTGTGAAAGCATCTCCTGCAGTAAAATTCGTGAAAATTCAAAGTTTTTTTGATAGCGGCAAGAGATGATGTTAAACAATTAATAAGCTATTATAGGTTATATGATAAAAAGGGATAGTTGGATAGCTGAGACAAGTTCTCATTAATTAAATGGTAAAAGTTGTTACACTGATGTGCTGATCAATTAACTTGTCAGGTCAGTTTTTACGGTTTCATTATCGAGCCTTAAATATTCTTAGTTCTTAATTTAATTTTTGAGCATTCCGTATTTTTGCGTGGTGTGGGCAGAATTTAGAGGACATATGAATATTTACTAGCAAATCGGTAAATGACAGGTAATAACAAGAATAGATAACAAATAATTATTTAATAAATAAATATTCAGCATGTTGAATACTTTTGTTGTCTGGTTGGTTGTGGTTAATTAGACTAATAAGTATTCAAATACATTTTTACAAATTCAGGACAGTTTTTCCGTATGACACCAATTCTTAAAGCAAGTTATATTTCGTTTTATGCAATAAATAGTAAGTAAATTTTTATCATATTATGACTATTTGATAATACTAAGAATCAAAGCACGAAAACATTCATGTATCATCAAACTACGTTTGATGTTAACGCCGATAGCTTTATCGACTTTACAAATTTAGAAGCAATTTCTGTAAAACGTTTTTGTAAAAAAAAAACATAAACGTTCGTGAGAATCGATGAGGATGATTGAATAAAACACAACGATGACAGTTTCCTCAAAATGCTTCACATGAGTTTCCAATTTAATAATTCATGAATGCGAGCACAAGAATTATACAACAGGAAGCAACGTCATGTTATCACAGAAATATTACTATACTGACTAAGTAAACGACTGCAAGGTTAAATTATGTACAAATTGTCGACTGTTGATGAATGTTCTGTTCGTTAGGAGACGAACAGCAGCTCTATCTTATCGCACGGGCTGAGTAGAGTAATTCACAGCCAAAACATTGCATGTTTGTTTACTGTATAATTTTCAACACGGTTTTTGACAGCTTTCGGAGTCGAGTCGGATGTTTGTGAATGGGAGCTGAACACTTGTAATTCCTGTCACTAAGTATGCAACGTATAAACAAATACAAGGAGCTGCGACTAACACTCATTTCGTCATTTCCAACAAAGTCTGACCAGGCTGGAGGTCGATTTTTACGTACCTATAGTAAAATTGATTAGTCAGAGTAGTAATGGTTTTTAGCAAGGTAAAATCTTGAACATTTTTTTGCCATTAATAAATAACATCTTTCAGTTTTGTTTAGTTGGAATTGACTACTTAAATTTTTATAACTCAACGTAATTACGCAGCTATTTCCAGGATACGATACGAACGCGATAGTAAAATTTTATCGTAATTTTACGGGAATCGCTGCATTAAATACGTTGAGTTGTTATCATTTGGCAAATTTACACCGCATGATTCACTGAAATTTCGTTGGGGAAATCAGCAACCGTCAACAATGTATGAATTTTTATGATTGCAGAGTTTAATGCTACCCGTTTGCATGTTTTTACGACGTGTACTCTACACTATTTTTTTTTCTAGAATTTGTTTTACGTCTTTTTTCCAAGCAGTTATATACATTTTACAATTGATATTAAAATTTGGCAATGTTTGTAATTTGATTAGATTAATGATAGATATCTACTTTTATCACAAAATGTGCCATTTATTGTATTTTTAATTTTTGGACATACATTTGTTATTGTGCAACCTGCCACACTCTATCACTATACAATAAACGAGAGCATCGATTGTTTTGATGTGTGCAATATGTACGATAAAAATGTTTTCAAGTTTTTGCGCACATGTAGGTATGTTAATTTCTGTTACTCAATTACAGTGGAAAAACAATAGCGTATAATTGATACCGACTTTAAAATTAATTTACAGCTGTTTTTATAAGATAAATTTTTGACAATTAAAGACGGTATTGTCTCGAGGCCAAAATGATCGATTGTATTGCTGTGGCAGACAATGAGTATACGAATATGCATTTCTTGCGGGTATGCCAAACATTTCCGCTTTACCATCTGGGACTCTAAAAGCTTACAACCTCGGTGACATAAAAATTGCATTCTTGGCGTTGTGTTGATATGAAAACAATTAAAGACATTTATTTAATCAGTTTATCTTTTAGTAATTGTAAATTTTTCGATAAATTTACAGCACATTTTATTACATAAGAGTGCATTATTGGCACGTGTACAAGTAGGTGCTTAAATTAAGCAAGGACAATCAACTATTGTCGGTGGGAATAGATGAAAATAAAAGCACAACTGAATTTAAATAGAATTCCTGCACCAAGTACGCTCGACATTGAATGGGTAGACTAATGTGATTTATTTAATATTCGTCGGAACTAATTTGTTATAATCTATGTAGAAGGACCTCATTCGTTGGTAATCCCTAATTCTAAGGGAAAGTGTGCCAGTTAATTTGTATCTCAAATTATAGTTCAAATTTAAATCGAACTAGTCACTATAAACGCAAAATAAAGCAATTAAAAAGTTATTTATATAATTTTTGATTCGTTAGAAAGCATTTAGAATAATCGAAACCGATTAACAAAGACTAATCGCTCGTTAGCTTCACCGCAGAGAAAGTAATTTATTTGTGCAATTGTTAACTATCAACAATAACTTATCCGCAATGCTTCTTAAATCATGGCGATCGGGGATAGGAGAAAAATAATTTTGTTGCGACAGCAAAGACAAAGCGCCTCACACCGTGCTTCAGGACAAAGGATAACTTGAAACAGTTCCGAGAAGTTGAAATCCATATACAATTATTTTAGCAAACAAAGAACAAAGTTAATTTAAATTTGACCGTTAAAGTGATTCATAATGGATTCAACACAACGGAGACAAGAAAGAACAAGATCTGGTGGTAAAAGTAAGTGGGACGATCGGTTTTAAACAGTTCTGCTGTTGCGCCAACAAAAGGACCAGTTTTGCACAAAACTTTTCGAATAGATTTAAATGAAAATGACAGTTAGCTAGAAAATTTCAGTGCGAAAATCTGTTGATCAAGTGGTAGCAGAACATATTGATGAAAGAAAAAACACGAAAAGAAAATGAAGAAAACTCACCTCGAACATAAGCATCTTGCCGAATTTCGCATATAGGTCACTCAGAAAACATTCAAAAATTCAAAATTTGTGCCAATGTTATTACAGCGAAGAAACGTTGAGTCGCGATAATGCGCTAGGCAGTCACTACACGCGCACTTACTGACACAGACTATCGTGAAATGCGACTGTGTGAGTGTGATGATCCTCCAGACACGATGATATCGGATCATTCACTCTTTCGTGTGTGTGGGGAAGACTGATGGTATTCGTCTTGAACGGTGTGCTGTCTGCTTAAAGATCTGTCAAAACTATGCGACATGTGTTGTAATTACCTCTAACTACGAGGCATATTTTTCCCTCCCACGGCGAATTGTTATCATATGGGCGCTATCTCTGAAAATTACTACTGCCACTGTGATTAAGTGAAATAACCATAACAGTGTCATTTATCCTTTGTAATTTTCATGTCCTAACAACAAAGGAAATTAATGTGTTTTATTGTGTAGGCACATACATGGTTGTCAAAGTATGAAATCGTTTAAATAATCAACTTTTTTAATGTAACAACGATTGTGTGTAAATGTTCAATATACAATTTTTTCATAATTTTTTTTACGGTTGTAAGGTTCTAAAGTGTGAGATTAATTCGATTTGTTTTAAATATCGTCAGATAAATCTGATATTGTTCAAAACGAATGTAACGTGTGAATATGAATTTTTTGTTTTTGCAAAATAGTACTAATTAAATTTTTTAAGTATGTAACAAATAGTAACAGAAATATTTTATTTTGTTGTAGAGGCTCTAACAAGCTTATTAGACATAACACAAATTTTATATGTCTAATATAAAAACGTGTACTGCAACACGGGATGCCTCCACGTCATCTGATCACACTGCTACGAACGGACGCATTTTCCGTCTACTTCAACTTTTAAACTTGACATGTCAAATATTTCAAGAGATTTTTTTCACTTGCACTAAAATAAAAAATATCGAAAGAATATTTTCGTTGCTTTTTACAATGAAATTTGTTCATATTTTAATTTAATTTTGTTTACACTATGTGGACAAGATGAAGTATCGCCATTAAGAACGATTGTAAATTATAACTCAAATTCTCTGGAATTATGTAGTTTAAGTACATCCTTTCCTTTATTGAAATAATATATAGTAGGTATTAAACAGACTACCATTTGAATAATTTCAAAGGAAAATTGGTCTGTAGTATACCTAGGTAAGTGTAAAAAATTTTTTCTTCTCCCAAATTATTTTCACAGAAAATACGTATCATAAAAAAAAGTATTGAGACTGTGAACAAATTTAAGGCATCGCATCTCATTTTACCAGTGAGAAGACTAATTGATATGTTCACACTTCATTGTTTACATTGTTCGTCTATTTTATTAACTCAACTTATCTTCTGCTTTGATCAATCTCGTATCTTTTTCCCACTGTTCTTTGGTTTCGTTCTTTTTTTAACATTTATGAAACATGCACTCTACTTCTAAATTATTTATAAAAGTTTGCTTTACTTAACTTTATAATTTTTAATAACTGTGTATTTTTTGTAGTCTTTGTTTTGTGTAATGTGCATATTTATTCTCATGTATTTTAAGGAATATCAAATAAGTATTAGTTTTACAACGAGATTTTCAAGTAAACTAAACCAACACAAATTATATATATTCTATAAAATTATAAAAAATAGGGTTTCTATGAAATAATATTGTTTTCATGACAAAAACGTTACAGCTTTTTTTGTTTATGTATCAGATATTAAAGTATTTAGAATATATTATCAATCACTTTCACATAACCTTTATCAACACCTGTGTACTGATTTTGACTATGAGACCAACAGGTTGCCTAGTATATTTCACTTTTAAGCAAACAGTAAAGCTGAGGACTAATTGCATGTCATCAGAATTTGAAGATATATAGGGTGTTTTATTTAAAAAAACTAAGGTGTGTGTTAGGCCTTAAAAACAGAACACTTTGTATAGTTAAAAATAATTTTCGAGTATAATCCTGACAGAACCGGACAACTTCAATTGGTTTTTGATTTTTTTTCTATTTCGAATAATTAACGAGATGTCGAGGACCATGCGTTTAGTGACTCACCCTGTATATTTTTTAAAGCAGTTAGCAGTATAGTACTGTTAGTAATAATTTGAAATCAGCAAGCATAACCATGACTAGAATGGCTTTCCAATAATGTTTATTTATATATTTAGTAAAAAAGGTAACAACTAATTTTTGAACACTAGGATATTCTTTAGCAACATTAAGATGAAACAATTAATTTTAAGAAAAAAGCTTCCACTTGTCTCCAAAAGGTATATTATTAGATAATTTTTGTTAAATTTATTACTAACAGGCTTTATACATATTTATTATTATTTTCTTTCTAATATCTTCCCTTAGTCAATAGCTATACTAGAATGTCTATGGTTTACTGTAAAAATATTTTTTACTTCCCGAGCGTAAGCGAAGGAAGTATTGTAATCGAATCCGTCGGCAGACTCTCTACTTTTACGTTTTCTCGACCTTTCGTGACCCCAGTACGAAGAAATAGGTCTTCTGTTTCCGTCTGTCTGTCTGCCGTCTCGGATTTTTTTCTCTTTGACGCAGTTTGTAAAACATAATAAAAGTAATAAATATAATAATGTAAATCCAAATATATTAGATAATAATAATTTGTACCCAATATAAATTGATAATTTTTATTTTTGGAAAGGTTAATATGATGTTATAAAGGTTATTAATTAAAGTAAAGGTACTACATCAAATGCATTTTTATCTATAGGTAATAAAATAACAGTTTGTGCGTTTTGACAATGAATTCTCACAATTCTTTGAACAGTAGCATATAAATTTGAATCAGTATAAGTAGTTGAATGCATTATTTAGATTTTCATACTGGAAATATGCTGGTGTATATCTATTTCCATTGTTGATCAGAACTATCGGATTTTCAAAATATGCGTAAAATGTAACTGCATTGGAGTATCCAGTCTTCACAAATTTCGTATTTCTTTCATTGAACAAAATTTTATACGAAGATGAATTTTATTTCAAATTGCTGTAATAATAAAAAATCTTGTCTGCACAAGTGAAAAGTAAATATTTCGTTCACACCTAGTAGATAGTGTCATCGCGTATCACAGACTTTGTGACAACGATTTGATCAAATGCCCCTGATAGGTGAGAGTTGGTTGGAAAGTAACTCACAGTTTATTTCAAACGACAGTGAGTTATAGTTAAACAATGTTGAGTACATTTTTGATTACAGCGTTGCAATAGGTAATCGCTCATTTTGGAGATGAGATTTCTTATTCACTTATTCTAATCTATATTTTTGATATTATCTTTAACTACATTAAAAATATGTAGAAACTATACTCACGTCCATATATAAAGGCCGGAAATAAGCTTTACTTAATACTATCTGTAAGTGCAGTAATCAGATTTGGAAATCAGGTTTTTACAGCCTTATTTGTTATTGTGCTAAATATATGTGTGACTGCATATTTTCAAACGATTGCAGTGTGCGTATTATATTAGCGTCAGCACGGATTTTTGTCGTTTTTAGCTTAATGTATTTGTGTACTTGTTATTAATTTTATTATTCGTTTAATTTAATAAAATTCACCAAACTTTACAAACTCAGTTTAACAAAAACATTTGTTTTTATGATGTTATATTTGTATTTATGGTTTGGGTCTCTGTAGGTACGTTTGTAAATTATTCAAATTATGTAAGTGACAAAATAGGATACATGGAAAGTACAAAATTTTAAATGTTCCTAAATTTTTTGTGTATAATTGTAATCTATTGGACCGCCTTTTAACTGACTTCCAGAATAAGAAATTCCAGGAAAGATGATACCAACAAGTCAAGTTGTATTTCAGCTATATGACAGTTTTTTAGTAACTGTCGTTTATTATAATCGTGAATATATAACCAACAAGCTACAATAATCAATCAATTAAAAGACATTCACTTCGATCTTAGCAACCTGCGTAAATAGTTTATAAATTTTTTAAATGTTTGAATTTTTCAAAATTTTAGATATTATCAAAACATGATCAACAAGTACCATTTTTACCGTTATAATGAAATTATAATCATCTGCTTTGCAATAACCAAGAGCAATGAAAGGCAATTAATTTTTACATTCATTTCGTTTACTGTTAATAAGTATAACTAAAAATCATGTTGCTGCAATATTTTCAAGGCTATGTTTATTAATAATTTTCACACATAGATATATAAAGTTTCTTTCTTTTCGCAATAAAGGATTTATGTTTTCGTAATAATTGTAACTAAACACGTTTTGCAAATATGAAAAATGCTACTGCCACTTTTTATATCGTATTAACTCTTAGACTTGGTACGAATTTTCGCACTACGTATAAAACCCTTTTTTATACTCCTCGGGGTTGTAGTTTCCTGACCCAGTGTATCCTCTCTTGACGAAATAATGCTGGTGTTAATTGTTAATGTAGCAACAATCTTTTCTTCTTTTGTGATTTTAGAACTAAGTCTTATTAATATTTTGTAATACAACACAGGCATCATTTTTAAAACTTCTAACGTAACTGGAGCATAACGCAACTTATTTGCATCAGTCTTACTAATTGTACTATAGCAAATATATGTTATCATTTTACTCCTACGTACAAAGTTAGACATATAAAATCTTTATCATCAAAGAGATTTATAGATTCACCGACCTATTTTCTTGGCGTCCAAAATAACTTGCTGCAAATTTTATGTCTGAAAGTTATTTTAAAAGATCTATAAGATTTTTAGGCTCTCTAGTTTTACGTATAATTACATATATGTTACACTGTTACATATTAATTTTAAAACTTAAAGTATTAAAATTTTCGTCATTAATAATGTTCAGTTAAAATGTATCTGTTCTGCTGTGTACCTTGGTTTCTTAAACACCTTGATAAATAATTAGTAGAAGGTTTACTAACAATAAGTTTTTGGATAATCAAATCTCATGGGCTTGGTTAATTATTAACTATTATTGTGATACAGGTGAATAATAAAGCTTTTGTATCGAAAAGGAACGACCGTGCTGTATGAAATCAGTAGATAAATTATATTTGCAAAAGGAATAATTTACGCAATTGGCGGACTTTCTATTGAGTTTATATCGTGTCGAATATCGATTATTACACTAAACTTGAGATCATTTTTAATGGAATGAAATTTTTGTACATACAAGTAGTGCAATGATGTCGTAAGCGATAATAATAATAATAACTAACTCTAAAATTTTTATGTGCTTTTTGATGCATTTTTTATTTAAATCAAATCTATATATGCTATTTTAATACTTTCATTGCGTAACGATTTATTTCTTATTGTTAAGTTTGATGCTGTTGTTAGTATCATGATCTTCGTCTTCGACCATTAACTGTGGAATTTTTCAATCTGGAACTAATAGTATATTACATACGGAGAGACCAGAGCTAATCTTTTAATCTCCAAAAGTAAAGTTGAATAATCACACACAGTATTAGTAGAGGACGTTTTAATCCTGCAGTGTATATATCATTTTTTGCACTGTCAGTACTAAAAATCGGCTTTGAAATAATATGCCTTTAGAACACGCATTGAATGGTTTTGGTAACAAGGATTATGTAAATATTATAAGTAACTAAGGTAACTTTGTAAACAAGACTAACCATTATGAAATTTTGAAGTAAAGTTTAATTCGTTGTGTTCACGCTGTGCTTCTGTTTAATTATCAACGAGTTAAAAGATTTAGTTGAAAACGTTGTTCCCTCTGAAATTTAAGAATCTCTGGATAACGCGACGGTTTCACTGTCATTGGTAAATCAGTAAAAAAATTAAATAAAAAGTATGAAGATTTCAGTAAATGGTATACGAAAGAACGTAGAAAATACAGTCGTTGCATAATCTGTTGAATCATTGCCAGCTACTTACTTACGGTATTTAGGCTCGTCCACTTGTTTTTGTTATAACTGATAATATTTTATTCTTTACTTTCACATACATTGAAGTACGTAGAGTTATTATTGTTGTTACAACTGAAATTAATAAAAACCTGTTATTGTGATAACACATGATTGTTTTTGCTTTAATCTCTAGGGAATTAAATTAAATTTAATTTTTATCGGATTAAAAGTGAGACTTTAGTTGTACAAATGCGCATTTTTATACAGTCTATGGAGTCAAAAGGCGTCTCATTAATCATTACGCACGACTGTGCGTAATAGGTACTAGAATTTTACTTTGATGTTGTCCTTAAAATGAGGACGAGGTTGTCCAAGAACAAAATGTTAACATTTTTAATTTTGTAACTTGAAAAATTTCTGCTACAAATTTAGGCATTTACAAGTTATTATTATGTTATTTTTTGTGCAATGAAACCTAGACGGCAGCTTAAACCATCGTCTCTGGTAAGTAATTTATTATTAAAAGTACTAGTGAAGAATATCTATTTAAAAATTTGTATCACTAAAAACTAAAACCTTTTTGTAAGTTTTTCGCTAAAATAAAATTGTTTTTCTTTTTTCTTTCTAGAAGATTGCACTTACTACTAGGAAAACTACTGCGCCCAATTTGAGAGTTACCCACAGGTTTGAATTACGTTTGTACTACAATTTTCTCGGTCTTGCATAATAATTATATTATCAGTTAGTAGCATTTCCATTAAGGTTATAAAATAAATAAAAAAATACTGAAATACATAATGCAAAAAAAGATAATCATTTCTAGATCTAATAATAATAATAATTTATTTACCCAACAGAAAAACAGTTATAGTGTAAAACAATAAAAAAAATATATATAATTAACCGAAGGAGTAATGTTTATGATAACCATTTTGTTGGGGGCGCAACGCAGTAAAAATGTAATTTTTTAATGTACTAATAATAAGTTAAAAACAGCTCAATTGCGGGAAGTTTCTGTTCTCTGATTTTTTACATGAAATTCTTCCTAATTGGATCCTCAAGATTAAAGAAACACGCAGTGATTTTTCAAGGCTTCCTACACGTGCATCTTAATCTGTTTAACGTACATTTATATCTTATGACTAATTCAATAGTGCTATGAATTATCAATAGATTGGATTGAATGTTATTTTTGTACCTATTTAGGGTCAAATAAATAACAGATTTAGTTCATACCACCTTTTTATTACAGGTCATTTGTTAAATGATAAATGCAAGATGAAGTCAAAATATGTAGTATTTTTAGTTGAGAAAGTCAAGTTGGGTTTAATTTTTTGTAAAACATTGAGAAGGATGTCTGTAATAAACTTAAAATTTGATTGATAACAACTGACAACGCGGAATGATACAACCCAACCTCATTTGTTCATAGATTCACCCTTTTCAACAATTCTATCAAAGTTAATTATACAGGGTCGCTAGAATGTATGGAAACGATTAAATATCTTGAGAACCAATTGGACAAATCTACTGAAATTAGGTGTAGAGGTACAAGAAGTTGTGCTCTAATTATTATTATTAGTCCTATCACGACCAGAATCGTGAGTTTGAGACTTGAAGGTATACTTTGACCAGAACTCTACGGAGTCTGCCTCAGGCGTCTATTGACTTCCACTAATTTTTATGTTTTTTCTGGTTCTGTGTTGTTTGTGGTTTTTGTAATTATACCAGACAAATAATCTCCAAAACTAACAGATTCTTATGAAATTTAGATAAGTATATTTTAAGAAAATTATATTTAAGTAATTTGGTCACGCTTAGTTCAGTAACTGATTTTGAAGTCCATCCACCTTTGTAAGTTTTTGCTGTAAGTGATACTGGAATGTTGCAGTGGGTCAAAGTTGTAGCAGGATATTTGATAGACATTTTCTTCACGAGAATTATATGCAGTTAGTACCTCTCAAAAATTCCCGATTTCGCTGTACCTAATATGAAGTCAACAGGAAAGTTGTGGGTTTCTTCCAAACAAATGCTTTTAAAATCATGTTTTACTTAGACAAAAATGTCAAACATTATGCTGACTGTGAAATCAATTATTTGCATTACAAAGTCAGAAACTAAGCTTTTGCGAATACGACCGAGTTTGCCAGGCCGAGCGTTAGCGACGCCGCAAAAAACGACTATTTGCAAAAGTAGCTTCTAGCAGAATAGTGCACACTATTTTTTGTATTATGTAAATGTATTGTTCATTAAAAATTAAATAATAACATATTTCTTGAGTGACACTATAAGAATCAAAAGTCACAGTCAATCCGGACTTTCCTTTGCATAGAGATCAACGAAATTCTTAGTGTCATTTTCTACGATCTAGGCCAGACATAACTTGTTTCCGAACGATTTAGGCTACTCGGAAACAAGTAAGTATTTAGCGAATGGTAGCCTAAAAACTATATTTTCACTCATGTATAGCGAGTGATAACACTAATCATCAAGTAAGTACAGGCTGCGTAAAGTCTTGTGCGAGAATGGAGAGACGTAGTGTATTTACTGGTGTCCTATGTGTTTTTTTCTGAAGGCGTAAGTGTTGTTTAAATTCGAAGAAAAATGTGTGCAGTGTATAGTGTTGTAAGCGCCTGTATCTGCCTCAAATGGTTTTTATAAATATATATTAGAGAGATGGGTGTCCAAGTTGCTCAGTCTCCAGTTACTTAGTTGGTACCATCTACCAACATATCGACCAAACTACAGCTTTAATTCTTATATTGTTTTAATGAAAAAACTGGATTTGTTTGATACTACTTCAGAAGGAGGGAAGTTTCGTTTAATAACATTCGGCCAATTTTTAATAATAGTACAAAAGTTCTGGGGGCCATTCCCATTAAAAAAAAGTGATTTACGGTGTGAGTTTTATCCTTATTTATACTAGCAGTGTAGAATTCGGCAGTAAAATTTCTTTTAACGATTCCATCATTTTAACAGCCATCATAAAAATGATGAGAAATAATTCTAAATGTCACAAAAATTAACTTCGTGCAGATTTCAGTGATCACACCTATAATATAGGTCTTCTATGTCTGTAGTTTATTTCAGCTTTATTTTTAACATTACGCATGTCTAGATGAAAAATCCAAATTAAGACAGTATAATTCTACTCTAGTTCATCGTAGAAATTGCAAAGTCTATTATTGCCTTGTAATTTTGTAGACAGTTTGAGATTACCTACCGTAGATGTGGTACATTCCTAAATGGAATTTATCGGATCTTCTCGTCAAAAACTTGGTGAGATTATCTCAAAATTGTAGTCTCCTTTGCATTGTTCAGAAAAATATGTTTCTGGACACGTAGTTTCTTCACGCTTTTAGTTTTTAATAGTCCATCTGATGTGTCTCAAAAAATTTAATAAATGAGACAATTTATTTTATGGTTTATCTCACTTTCCTGAAGTTATAGTAACACATTACTGTTGTTATTAGTGTTATACTGCATGACATGTTTTTCCTATGACAAATGTAATTTTATTAGGAAAATCTCTCTTGAAACATCGGCATACTCCTTTCAAATTTTAGTTTCAACTTAAAGGGGTCATCATAATAAAAATCATTAAATTCGCAATTTCAAATTTTATACTACAGTTACGGCCCCCCAAAAATGCACGATAATTTTCTCTATTGTAAATGTATCTTCAAATCATGGGCGCTCGAATAACAAAAATTGTCAAATTTGACATTTTGTTTATTCAAAAATGCTGTGCCACAGGTAAATAGCCAGACTCATATTAATTTAAAAATTTAAAAAATTCCATGACAACGAAAAATCGTGCACTTTTGGGGGGGCGCAACTGTACATACTCGTAGTTCATTTAATCTTTTTTTTTCTGTACACTTGGTTCGAAAGAAGCTTTGTCTAACAACTTTAATCCAGTTTTTACTTCTCGACCGTAAGTTAAGTAAATACATATTGCAAATCTTACGTTTCATGTTTTCTCGACATTTCATTACCTTTGTAACTCAAAAAAGTAGGTTTCACGTTTCCGTCTGTCTGTTTGTCTGTGATTGTTCCAAACTGCTGTACCGATTATTGTCAAATTTTATCTGATATTGGGAATATCATCTAGACCATCCATGCGACCCGCCAACCGGAAACTTCCGGCCCGCCAAAGATTTTTTTATTGACGTAACTTTGGCCCGCGATGTATACAATTGTGTATACATTTTCAATTAAAAAAAAAACCCTAAGTTTGAAACGATAAATTCCAATTGTTAGTGAAATATAGCCATGCAAATTTCGTAATGTAGTGGAGGTTGTGGTGACTTGTGTAAATTTTTTTAAATCGAGGGGCTTAAATCATAGACAAGTTAAGGATTTTTTGGAAGATCTAGAATCAAAATATGGTGACGTTCTTTGTTATACCATAAGTAGAGGGAAGATGTTACAGCACTTCTATAATTTGAAAAGTGAAATCGAAATTTTCATGGAAATGAAAGGGAAGTTAATTCGCCAGTTAACGGACGAGGTATAGCTCTTCGAACTTGCATTTTTAGTTGACGTTAGCGGGTACTTAAATGACCTTAATGTAAATTTACAAGAAAGGGGACAATATATACATGAGATGGTCGCACATATCAATTCGTTCCGAACTAAACTTCAATCATGGGAAACTCAGTTACGTGCAGAAAATACTTCCCATTTTCCTATATTTGACAATTATAAAAATTTTGATTCTGCTGCTTTAGCAAATGAACTAAACGTATTAAAAAAGAATTTTCAAGACGCTTTCAGGATTTCAGTAAACATGGAAAATATTTTCACATATTTTTTAATCCTTTTGGCGTGAACGTAGAAATCATTCCAGAGAGTTTACAAATGGAGTTGATAGAGTTTTAGTGAGATGAGATGATGCCTTGAAAGCCATCTTTAATAAAGATGTGACTTTGCTTGATTTTTATCAAAAATACTTTCCCGAAGATAAATACCCAAATTGTAAAATTTTTGTATGTAAAATAATGTGTGTCTCTGGTAGTACATCTTGCTGCGAGCAGATTTTTACGCAAATGAACTATACAAAATCCAAAAATCGATCTAGAATCACGGACCAAAATTTAGAACACACTTTACGAATTGCGTCGATTTTTCTTAGTGCTGATATTGACAGCATAATAAAAATATTCAATGGCAAAAATCCCACTAGTATACTTGCTATCTTGCTAATGTTATTAAATGTTATTTTTAATAATTTCACATCACTATGTGATCACAGATACTATACTGAAGTGTCTTTTTGAATAATAAAGTTGTTTTGTTTATAGTGTAATTCTATTTTATTGTTTACAGTACGTTTTCCATTATTATATCTATAAAAAGTAAGTTCTTGGTGTATTTTATAGCGAGCTTCAAACGTGACTATTATTATCATACCAATTAATATTTTTGTTGAGTAAGATCTCATTAGTTTATATAGACCAAGTATTTTGCTGATCTCTGTTTTTAAAGCCCAATGAAATTTAATTTCTACATTACTTGAAGATTCTCGCTTTATAATAAATTACATTTAAAAGTTCTGTACGTCTTATTAAAATCATTAGAAACATTATCACATTTAAATAATACAAAACACATTTCATTTTCTGTCATTTACATTTCATATGGCATTTCATTAAATTTGCTTTCATCTAAGTAATAAGTCTCTTACAATCACTTGAAGAAATATCATCGTGTCAATAACCGAAGAGGTATCAGCGTATTTTCGAGAATCCCATGTTGTATTTTATTTATTTGTGAATTATTTATCATACTTAATTAACAACTTCGATTTATTAATGCCTGCTGGTATAATTAATGTTTTATATATACAGCCTGTTATTGAAAGGTACGTACAAAATAAAATCGGCAATTGGTTTCGAAGTATAGGTGCTAAAAGTTAAAAAAAGTTCAGGTAAAATTGTTCTCCTTTTAGAGATAAAAATTATTAAAATTTATGTCCAAATTCTTTGTACGCCTCTGATAAAAACATCATCTTTCGTTTCTATAGCAACCTTTAGTCTTGACAAAAGTTTTATTGTTACAGTTGCTAGAATTTACTAAAATAAATTAATTTTACCTATTTATCCTTCAGTAGCGTCTAAAAAGGTTGGATAAGGGTTAATTTTCCCCTTATAATTTTGATAACACAAAATAAATTTTTCCGACTTCTTAGACTTCGCGAAGAACTGTCCATTTTGTTGTACGTACCTTTCAATAATACCCTGTATATATTGGCAGATAATACCTATGTTTGAAAAAACATGGTTGTATCTACTTTCTCTGCTTTTGGTCAGACTGTTGTGTATTAGATGCAGTAATGATGATATAAAATTATTAAATAAATTTAAATTACCCCCAAAGGTCGAAAGAACTGAATATTCGTTAACAATCAATGGAGCAAAGTTTAAGTATTCAAAGATTGTTAGTATATTCTGAAGATACTAGAGTCCGGGGAACGAGGAGGCCACAGCACTGGTTCATTTTTACCAATGCACTTGTTTTCAAAATGCACATTTAACCACTGGGTAACATAATCTTCTAGCGCTTGCACACGTTGAAGTCGTTGAAGGTGGTATGGGTGCAATCCTTGTTCGTGAATGATCCGCCACATAATAAAGGTGGAAATATCCATACAAAATGCTAATCGACGGATGGTGATATTGGTCTCTTCGTCAACAACATCCAAAATTTCGGGTTTCGGCTCCAGTATCCGGTCGTGTGGTGATGGGCACGATTGTGATCGAGGGTCTGAAATTTCCTGAAATCATGTAGGTGTTAAACTGCTGCAGTAACCGTGTGTCCAGTGGTAAGAAATGAGGAGTAAGAAATATCATTTGTTGTATTCCTTGTTCCTGATTCTTAAATCAATTATGGATTGTTACACCCACTTATTGTACGTGGTGAAACTTTTTATTTTCGATTTCTTAGTCTTTGACCGCCCATTTTCTATGCCGTATGAAGAATAAAGAAAAAAAATCCCAATACATAATATGCATATGACATGTATTTATGTTTGTAAATTTCCGGATTTACTTAATTCAATCTAGTGATCTTAGCTATGTACACGGCCAGCTCCATTAACTACATACGGCCGTCCCATTTTTCAAATTTCCATTAGGCAAATTGTTTCTGCAGATCTGTCAAAATCGCCCCTTATACAGTGACATCTATTGATTACTAGTGTTATCAAACACGACATTTTTGGTCAGGTTTGTTGATTTTAATTGTCATGTATGTCAGTGAATCGTCGATGTCCAACGTAATTGAACTAAAAACGGTTTGTAAATAGTAATTTTAATCAATACTACTCTTGAAAGTCGCCTTGAATAGTACACAAATATATTATAGGGCACTAAATTACAAAACCAAACAGTTTTATTGAAATGCTTACAAATTACTAAAGTCTAAAACGACAAGTAATAAGCATTCACGTTCGGTAGAAGTAGCTGACAGAAATTTTTCTGTGGTTAAGTTGCAATCTTAAGAGCACTAGAAATTAAAGATTGGTATCAACTGTCTAATTTTCTAATTCAAATGTCAAATCTGAATTGTCTGGAAAAAAACGAAGTTTTTCTAATTTCAACACGCTTCGTTTGAAGAAAATCCTTAAATACAGCGTGGAAAAAATTTCCACAAAAGTAGTCGCGAGAAAGTGCATTTTAAAGGAAAAGAAACAAGAAATATTTCGTGGTTTTGAAAAAATTACTGGGAAAAATAGACAATGCTTGGGTAAAACGGAAACAGTTAAACTGGTGGCAGAAATATTTTCCGTAAAGTTCGCTAGTGTTCTCGAGTGTTTTTCGAATTTTAAAATAATACCGATACAACGGCGTCGGTGCCGTTAATATTATACTCAGAATCAGAAAGACGACTGCCCAGATTTATATACCTACATGCTTTGTTGGGTCCGCTCCACAATTGGTTTTTAAGTTTTATATAATCTTTATTGTTTTGTAAAAGGGAAAATACTCGGCTTGGAGAATAATTGTACGTAATACGTACACGTATAAATTTAGGTTTTCGAAGGCGAAGGTTTTCACATTAAATAGGTACCAGAATCTAATTTCTAAAGCGGTATCTCTAATTGCGTGATAGTGGTGAAGATTTACTTTTCATTTTCTTGGATTAGACATGGATATACCAAAACGGATCCATGGTAAAATTGTGGATCCATGATGATGACATCAAAGCTTGTCCTCCTAAAATAACTAGTGAAGGGAAAATATTCACAATTTTACATGCGGGTTGCTCTTTGGGCTTTTAGAGGGATGCAATTTTCTCCTGGATTCAAAAGTAGATTCAGCAGATCACCACAAAACCATCACATTTTCGATATTTGCCAATTACTTACTTACATGTCACATTTTTGATACCTACTTTCTGACATTCCAGTTATACATTATACACTAGAACAATTATGTCCGCAGTTACACAGCTTAAAAAAAAAGTTACCAAATCTAGTTACATCTACCGAACGTGAATTCCTTATACTTACCAAAACAACAGTAAGGGACTTACTAAGGAACATAATTTCGTGAAAATATCTTGGACAATGCGATCACAAATGTATATTTACATTATTTATAATTTGAGTACTTTTCTATGTAATGGCTTTTGGCGTAATTGTAAATTCTTAACCATGTCCGTTTTTTCTAGACAAATATTGTCAAGAACAGGCTTCACAGTTAGATTGATAACCATACTAGACAATTTATCCTTGTGCAAGGGGCAACAAAATAACGAATTTTCCTTCAAATGAGGATATAAGCACTGAAATGCTTGATATAATGGCATTTCATATTTTAAAAAAGGTGAAATTTCTTGCACAATGTCAGCTATTCTCTTAATGATTCCAACAAAAGTTTCGTTTGGATATGTTAGACCTCCACGATCTTGCAAGAATATCAAACGGAGCAAAGGCCCTGGAAGTGTTGTGGAAACTAATGGTGATACACACACGTCACACTTTAATTTATCATTCAGTTTCTTAATTATGTAACCTGCTAGGAACGCTACTGACGCAGAATATATTGTATTGTTAGCAGGCATGTTTGTCTTCAAATTTTGAATTTTCATTCTTAACTGAAAAGGTAATACCATATCTTCTATATGTTGTTCTACTACCTCTCTTGTCTTTGATGGGGCTGTACTCACAAAACTCATAGTTTCAGAAATATTTGCCGATGTGGAAGCCTTAACAATGCCACAACGTAATATTTGACGTAGGGCGTACTCCGCTGCCCTTGCGTCTGTTGCATCATTAGACCCTCCTCTCAGGCGTACATGGGAAAACATAGCTTCAACAGCATCTGAACTGAATCCCCTTGTTAAAACGTAGTAAAATCCAACTTGTTTCAGCAAGAATTTTATACAAAGGCATGTACTCTTGGCGGTGAATTTTAAGACCTCTGCTGTTTCTTCTGATAAGCCAGACAATCTGTCTCTTGAAGAATTGCTTTGCACATCGTCGATGTAATTAGGAAGTGTTACATTTAACCACTCTAACCTTTGGTCTGATACATCTGCATAAGGTGCAACCGTGCTGTCTCGTGAACGGATATAATACGTTCTACTAGACACGTTGTGGATTTGGAAAAACTTATACATGTTTTCCAGATAACTAATAGTGGCGTCGACATTGCAAAACCTCGGATCACCTGCTTCCTTCAAAAACTTCAAAGATGCCGTTACTGTTGGTGAAAATATTTGAATGGCTCGCAGCACATTCATTTTCTCGAAATTCGAAGGGTACAAATGCTTCCTGGTTAGGTACCTTACAGGTTTAACAGGCAAATCTTTTTGTAACTCGTACAATTTTTTCAAATATGTAGATGAAATAACACCTTCGGAAGAGGACATTTCCCTGTCTAAAAATAAACTCCTCGCATTCTTCACTGCATGACAGTAATCGTAGCTCAAAAACAAAGGTATTGATGGCAGAACAGGGTGAGAAATATAATTCTGAAGAGATCCATTTCCCAACTTTTTAAAAAGTGCAGTATTTGCCGAAAAGTTATCCGTCACCAGTCTCAACACAATAAATCCACTTTCACTCAAAAGTTGTAAAACCGAAATAGTAAGCGCATGAAAATCATTTGTGGATAAAGATTTATGAAAAAAATATCCCGCTGGGATGGTATATTTCGTCGACAACCCATGGACAACGTAACACAACATCTTATTTGCGATTTGGGGACGTTGGCCTATTTCGTAGGAACCACAAGTGTCCAAGCCATAAATATGATCATCAGTTCTACTATACTGGATTCTTTCTTTGACTGACATATCGTCAACTATTAAAGAACACACTCTTTCAACCGGTACTCTAAAATTTTGGACTTCAGCCTCCAAACGTTGTTTTATTAAGACATTTTGGCCTTTGTATTCACCAAGAAACCTTGATAAAGTACTTTTCGAAGGAACTTTAAACAAATTCGTGTGACAGAATCGGTAACCTTTCGGAGAGCAAAATCTCCATATAATTGACATTCTTATGGTTTGCTCTGACCATCTCGGTTTCTGCTTAAAGTGGTTTTTTAATAAATCCAACAGAAATGCCGCCTTTTCATCACCAGCTTCTGCATTTCTTACTAATTTAGTGATAAGCTCTACATTTGGAGAGTTTTCGCTTTTCTGTTGCTTCAAATCTTCAATTTTTGACAAACATTGATGGTATTTTTGTGTGGTTCTTTTCAATTTTTGAGTTAACACTTTACAGTGGTACCGCAGATTTTGAAGTTCTTTTAAAGAAATTAAATCAGCTTGTACATATTTTTCAAATCTGCAAGGCAGGACAGGAAATTCAGGTTCTGGAGATGTTTCAACCTTTAAGCAATATAATTTCGAATTTTGTAAAATAATATAATAATAATTTTACATCAACAGTGGGTACAGCTTCTTTATTCAGCCGGTATCTCCTGTAGACAAATTTGAGACAGCCTTCTTCAAAGTGATTTTTACAGATTACAGAGTAATCATTAATATTTGTTACGTCTAAATTAAGGAAGAATATGTGAATTTTTACATTGATATTCAATATTCAAATTTACCACAAACTTTATTAATGACGTCTAACCATTTGGCTCTTAAAGTATGTTCCGCTGGAAACTGAAACAGCGGAATGTCCGTATTACCACAAATAAAGCATTTTTTAACCATTTTCTTTAATAATGAAAGAGTTTAATCAAATATTTAAATTGACAATTCGTGGATTTGAATTTGACAGTGTTTGACAGTTCTCCGATAGATGACGCCAAATAGAGGGCGGTCATGGCATGCTTTTTAGGAACAACTTTTAGAAAAAATGGGACGGCCGTATTTAGTTGATGGAGCTGGCCGTGGCTATGTAGAAATTGTGCTGCCATCTATACTCTCTATGGTATAAATACTAAACAGTGTCCTAACTGTGTGTAAAGGAACACCACTGCAGAAATCATTATTAACTCATAGTCGTCTAGTCACATGTCTAGTCACATATTAGTTGGATAACAGTTTCCTTCATTAGATACATCAAAACTTTATTTAAACAATGAAAACTCATTTCAATTACTGAACACTGAAAGTTGGCACAATACCAGTTGCAGTAAGAAGATACCATATAAAACGGTTTGATTGATTCTCTGTTAATGTATCCATTTCACAATTTAAGAGCATTGTAGCTATCTTTTTAATTTTATTATTTTAGGTAGTTTGGTAGTTATCTCTTAATTCTTCGAACAAAATGTAGTTAGTTATAAGGTGAAAAATCAAATTTAGTGATTACTGTTATTGTACGTGACAGCTATTGTTCAATTGTCGCACTAAATTACTTATAATAATAAACAGACAACTAAAAAAATAAATATAAAAACTAGAAATAAATGGACTACTCTCTTTGAACGAAAAAATTGGTGTAAGGTTATTTGGACGAAACTTCCCTCACCCTTGAGACACAGACATACAAATCCAGTGTCTTAGATAAGTTATAAAATTTAATACTGTGAATATTATTATTTTTGTTATGACTGATAACTTTCTAAGTTAAAATACAAATAGGTGTGGATTATTATCCTATAGGTATCGAGCATTACATTCCTAGATTTTCAAAAGAAAAAGAAAGAGATAAACCGTTTTTGATTTTATACTTAATAGATAAAATAAATTGCTTGGTTCATGAATTTCTGGAGACATCTTGGATAGGCGATTCTAAAAAATAGACGTAAATAAGTATAAAGATAAACCACGACATAATAATACTAATAGAATTTACTTAAAAACAATTTTAGCTGATCATCAAGTTTGTGGGGGGATATTTTTCATTAGTGAATTATCAGAATGTTTGCGATAACCTTCAAACATTTGTACGATTTCAGAGCAGTGGGATCCGTAGTTTTTATTTTAAGTTGTAAAATATTGTTGCGTAATTTTGTTCTTTTTTTAATATGGATATCCATTGTAAAAAAAATAGATGCTGGTTAATAAATTGTATAACACAGAGGCATATTATTTCATAAAATTGAAACAGAATTTGTCTATCAAAATTTTGAAATGATGTAGCTATGGTAGCTATTTCACCATCTACACGATATTTTTAAAATATCTCCAATTTTTTTTTTATTTAATTGAAGTGGTTGAGCATACTGATACGAAAACTATCCACATTTTTTAATGAGAATTATTACATACTTATATGTATAGTATACCCTAATTTATATATCACTTTAAATCCATTGACTTCAAATACGACGTTGCCGTGTCCCGAATTCTAGGTAATGTAACATCAGACAACATTATCAACAACACGCATTTTTATTCACTCAATTTAAATCATAAAAACATATAGTTGTGTCATATACCCTTACTCTTGCATGTTTAAACTTTCTAGATGTACGTGATTAGCTTCAAATTTAGATTTATTTTAAGTGAAATAACGGAAATATCGAGTTAATAATTATGTAAATTTAAATAAACGACGTTTTCGTTGAAAAGAAAACCCCATCCCATAAAACAGGATGTGGTAAACCCAATCTATTTGTCTTGAAACTCTTGTAATTGAAGATACTTACAGATAATGGGTTACGCTGTTTAATTTTCTTTATCTTGTGACCATCAAACATCCTCAGGATGCCAAGTTCGGCAATCCTTTGTTTAATTATCGAAATGCACCTAAGACATTTAACCTCTCATTATTTCTAGTCACTAAAACGTTGTTGAGTCGTTAACATCATAATGTACATTTTTACTTTAGTTTCCATCTTAAGTGCTCTGCTTGTGTCGGCGTTCTGCCAGAACCTAAGTGCGCGAAATTTTGATAGTGATTGTGGCCAAGTTTTTACTAAACAGCAATTCGTCATCGAGTCTCGAGGTTATCCTAGCAATTATCCTTTAAATTATCAGTGTTTTTACCTGGTTAAAGGTCCTTCTTGTCCAACACATTTTAAACTTGAACTGTTATACTTTAGAGTGGAAGATTCTCTCGGATGTTCGAAAGATCGTTTGGAAATTGACGATAAGGATGCCCTTTGCGGTAACAAAGACGGTGTTGTTAAGAACTACTTCTCCGAAAAAGGAACATTAATTTTGAGATTTGTATCAGATAATTATACAAGTGGAAGGGGTTATCGAATTTTAATAACACGATATCCGTGTTCACTTCAACAATCTACGACTCAAAGTATACCCAAGTGGTATACTACTAATAAAGACGTAGAATACACAACTACCACAGTACGTCCTCCAAATAGCAGAAATTGCTGCAAAAATTTTTATAATTCTAAACAGTTTACTTTAACCAGTCCTAATTTTCCTTACAGTGTGACTACTCCAGCAGACTGTTTCTACGAGATACACAAATTAAATTCCGATATTTGTCGTCTCAGGATTCATGCTAAGTTTTTCTGGCTGGGCCGTTCTACTAACTGCGCTGAAAGTTTTTTGGAAATAGACGGAAAATACATTTGCGGATGTAAAAGCGATTTGAAAATAATAGCGCCATTCGAAGGCTACTCTACAAAAATTTTACGTTTCGTCAGTGGAGGGCAAGAAAGATCGTCATACAGCGGTTTTATTGTAGAAGTTATTCAGGATGAGTGTCCAAAAAAAGTTATTCCTGAAAGTAACAGTAAAAATAAAACGGTGGAAAAAAAATTTAGATTTTACAACGATCAAATTAACAGAGTTGCCTGGCCAAATAAATCCGATGATTTAGTAGTAGAAAAGTTACATTTAATTAGTGAAAATACGGAAATCATCAAAGATGATCATTTGGAGACTCATGGTCAACTTCAGCCACAAGTGGTTAGAAATGTTTATTTTTATTCGTTTCCTGATATCAATCGTATACCACATGATCGTGAAGACACAGAGTACGTAGACACTTCAAGTAAAACATCTTTTAATCAAGATAATTTTGATTACAATTATTGTCGAAGTTGGAATCAAGAGCAGTTTAACTCAATATCTTTGAGAAATCTTCCTGTGTGTAAAAATAACGAAGGGACTATTGTAGAAAGAAAGTGTTTCGAGTTAAACCAAATTAGAGGCTATTTTAAAAGTCCAGGATACCCATTTTATTACTTAGGAAACAAGAATTTTTGTTACAAGTGAGATAAACCCTGTAATAATTTTGTCTCCTTTTTAGTTAACAAATTTTTCTAGATTTCGCAAATTACCAGGATATTGCACAATTCGCGTATTTATGAAAGATTTTGATCTTCAAGACAGTGTCACCTGTGAAAATGATTATGTACTTTTTGCAAACCAATTAAGATACTGCGGAAGGCGTTTAGCAAATACCATTTGTAAGTTTAATTGGAGTTAAATGTAGCTTTAAATTACACTAATTTGTTTACTTACTTCAGCTACTTTAGATGTACGAAATAAATTGTACGAACAGATGAATTTCGTTACGGATGCTTTGTTTTGTGGGAGAGGGTTTTTTGGTGCGTATGAACAAATTCCGTGCCAGGAATTCCCTCATCCAATTAATCCGACCGATCCAACTGGGACAACACCACCTTACGTTCCTCCTACGATGACTCCTTGTTCTAAAACAGTACGGGAAGAAATGTTCACTTTTGATGTCTACGATTACAATGAGCCGTCTTGTATGTTGGTAATAAAAAAAAATACGGAGGTAAAGAATTCTTTTTCGGTTAGAACTAAAATTGACACTGATTTGTGTGTTTACAGTACGTTTGCTCAGTGAAAATTTATTTTGAAAAGTTTGATTTGGTTTGTGCATGGGAATCATTAGTTATTGATGGGACTCGGTATTGTGGAAATTTGACAGGAGAGTCTGGTAGTTTGATATAAGTTAATACTGATAATACAAATTTTGGGATGATTTTTGTTGTAGTTAATATTGAAGTGACGAATAGAGATCCCATTATTGTGTACCGAAGGTTTTTGAAAACAGATGCTGGAGGTTTGCGGTTAAAACTCACAGGAACTCAAGTGTCAGACGATTGTCCTTGTATGATTTCTAAATATTGCGTGTGGGAAATAATCCATTATAAATTATCTTTTTCAGATCCTGAAGTACCGGCAGAACGGTTTATAAAGCCTAAGTCACTAAACTGGACCGATGTCGATAGTAACAGACAATTTATTCTGAAATTCGGTGATCGTTTTAAAAGTAAGTAAAAAGGAAATTAATGAACTTTTGAACTTTTTCTAATAGAAAATAGAAAACTGTCTGCGAACCGAAATGTAAATTGCAGCTTGTCAGCGTTTGTAGTTCTCCATTTACAGCAGTTTAATTCAGGGCGAAATGTGCACGAAACGTAATGGGTGAAATTCGTTCAATGCAGGATGTGAGGAGATTAGTATCTGAAAGCAAGTTTAATTAATAATTGGAAATTTTACATTATACTGATGATGCAAAAAAGTTTTGTTTAGATTTAAAGCACTTCTATCTGATGTTTTTTGTCTAACTTCTAACTTTTGATTTCTTGGACAATTTTTGTGAAAGAAAATTTGTAAAAATTTTAATGTGATATACATACGTAAGAATATAATTATTAATTAATAATATACTTAATAATAATATCATCAAATTTCTCACTATATATTTTCAATGTAAATTTTTACTAGAAAAAAGTGTGAAAGATTTGTTAAAAGCCAAGGTTTTTCAAATTTAGGTCTAAAGCATTAAAGTTTTTCGTATCTATAAATATAATCTAGAATGAAACTGCAATTATAGGTATTATTACTAATAATAATATCTAGAGATATTGGGCACAACGTCCCAAAACTCATTTTCGGTTTTCTGACCGTTTTTAGTTACCAGATTCTATAATTGTGGATTTTTTATAATAGAACAAAGTGAACATTAAATCTGGCACTTTTGATGAAATTATTTCAACGATTATAGTGATTATAAAGTTACGTCACAGTTTCTACAACTGTAGAATCGAAATTAAGTAAATAGGGGATATTTGTTTTTACCCCAGTATTTAGACACAGGTACTAGCTACAAACTAATTGTTTTTATCAACCGTGACGCTTTACATTAACACCTAAAATTTTGATCTGTTTTAGTCTTATTTGCACCTTATTTGCATCATCTTTAAAACTGATATTTTGAAAATATTCTTTATGTGACTGAAGAAAAACAAAAATTTTTTAAACACACTTCGGACAAAATTAGAAGTCACCGTTTAGCCCTTCACTATCCGAATTCCCAATAGCTAAAATTAACAACTAAAAATTTTGAGCGTTGATTTTAAGAGAGTTTTTCAATCATGTTGGGATAGAAGGGAAAAAGTGCATTGTACACACATACGTATACAATGATTTTAGCCATGCGTTTCCTAAATGGTGAGCACAAATTTTCCTATTATATTTTTACATTTTTACATCGTCTGTGTAGATTTTAATTAGGCAGATAGTCTTCGAAAGTACTGGGGCGGTTGTTGTCAAATTTTAAACGTATTTTAAGAATATTTTGTAGATGACAAAACGCTAACCAAAATTTCACATCACCTCAAAAGTTTGCACGTTAAATGCTACTTAAATTTCATAAAACAGCGTTTTCGTTACTTGTAGTATTTTGACTTTTTATCGTAGACAGCCAAATTTTTAGGAAAAAAAGAATGAAAATATGTCACCACATTTTAAATTTAAGTTTAAAGTTACAAAACTGAATGTTCTGAAATTTTGTAACCGTTTTAAGTTTATCGCAAGCACGGTAAATTGTCAATCAAAATTTATCTCTTGCTTTTACACCGTGACTTATGTATATACAGTTGCCGCCAAAAAATTTCAGACGTCAGTGTCATTCAATCGTCAGATAGTGTAAAGCAACCTTTAGATGTTTAGGTATTTTGAAAGTTTGACATTCCAGCTGTCCGAAATAATGACAATAAAGCAAAGACTACATTAACATTTTTGACATGACAGAAAAGTGATGTTTGAAATTTTTTGTCGGAAACTGTATATGTCATATTTGCAATGTACTAGATTAAGTTGCCCTCTTCAAGCTACAAACAGTGGCGTTTACGGAATTTCAATATATCTATCCGGAAATAAAGGCACCGAGTTTTGTGTACGACTTTTTGAGCAATAATAAAATTTTTACAAAGGGTGAATAGACAAATTTTAGTTAGTATTATTGACCACCATCGTTTAAAAATTTCCAAAAGACAGACAAAAAGACCGTGATATAGAGGCACGTATTTTTTATCAATAAGCCGCGAAAAGTAGCGAAAAAAAAATTGTTAAGGTTAAGGCCCACGTGATTTATTCTTTGATTTTACGTTATCCTCTAAAACAATAAGATGAGACAAAATATAAGATGCTATTTGCTGTTAATACACACAATATTTTGATGGATAACTGGAACTGGATGCATTTTATTTCCTTGAAGTAACCTAGTTTAATTTTTTGAGCGACGGCTAATGAAAGCAAAGTTTGGAGATTAAAATTTTGTACTTTATTTCAGATATTAGGTAATAAAAACGTGTTCGAAATTTTGGCATGTTCTTAATACTGATTACAAAACATTGACTAAAATTGATTTATTCATCACTTCTATAAACTCAGTAAATAATCTGATTTTTTTTTATTAAATGAAAATGACAAAAATTATATGCTCCAAGGTTGGGATATTGTCCATGTTTTAATAATACGCTTTTACGTGTTTATTAGAAACACTCAACATGGAATGCGTAAATCATCCTTAAAACTATATACCTAATTTCTCCAAAATTTTGAGAAACCAGTAATGTCATGAGTTCATGACGGGTTTTAGAGTGGATGAATCAAAATCTATACGTGAATCTCTGCGAAAAAGGTGATGATGTCATTCAAAATGAGTGAAATTCGGTGTAAATAACTTTATACTGACTTTCTTTAATTAACTTAAATTTGCAAAGTAGAAAATATGTTATAAAAATAAAACAGATATCTATGAAAATGTTCACATGAATCAAACCTTATATCCTATAAAAATATATAAAATACTTCCCACAGCGCTTTAAAAGCTATTAATTTAACTAGTGATTATTTTATTTAAAGAAACATTCACTGTTGACACAGGATGTACAAATTAGTTAAGAAAAGGGACAAATAAAAACAATCACTATGCGAAATATTTCAGGGTGGCCGTTTTTTTGTCAGTCAGTGTATTTTAAAAAGCAAACGTGGAAATTATAAATTTATATAAGTAGTAGTAAATATATTTTATGAAAGTACTGTCCATTTTGGTGTAGTTAAAAAGAAATTTACAATTACTTCTTTATGGTACAATGACTATCAAAGAAATCAAAATGTTTTTTGAAACATGTAGATTTTTTCGAAAAGTTTGCCAGAATGGGAGTATATCATTAATTATTATTTTTGTAGTTTCTTGTCTTCGATTAGTTACACATAATACAGAATCTTGTATTTATTTTTTGCACGAATGATATAATTAAAATGATGGTTAAAATGATAACACAATAAGGACACACACTAATTTTAGTAGATTTATTAATTTCACATTATTTAATCAATATAATCATTAATGTGCAAATTAGTACAAACAATTCAATTATTTTCAATTAAAATGGAAGCTGTAAACACCCATCTAAAAATCACTTAACACAGTGTAGGTATATAAATTATTAGCACATCGCAGCGAACTGTGTTTTCCGTTTTTCTAACATAGAAAGAGGTTTTTTGAACAAGACTAAATCAGCTTGATAATTAATCTATATTGCACGGTTGCGTAGATGTTGCGAAGTTTTACTACCTTGACTTCTTGAATTTGTGACTATGAACAGGAGAAATATTTTGATGCAATGTGTTAAAGATTATACAACTTTATTTTGAGGTTTATACAGTCTAAAAATGTTTACTACACCGTTTTCAGGCTTTTCCGACTCGTTGAAAAATGTATCCGTGGAATCATTGACTTTCTAACTTTTCCGGGGTCAAAAAAGTTGTATGTGACTGACTGATCGTCATATATTTTTTGTAAATCGTTTTTCTAAACCAAGAAGTGAGTTTATTTAAAAGCAAGGTTAGAATTAAAGACAATGATAGTCGATGAAAAATTCATAGATAATAATACAGTAAAACTTAAATTATTTTGTACGACACTAGGTAACTGTCAATTGTTTGGCCGTGTTTGACATGTGTAAGAACTGCATGGTCTCTCTTGTTTTTGATTTTCACAGATTTTAAATTATTGCAACTAGGAGGAAGTGTGGAGATGGAAAAAGTTTTACGCATGTATGTTTTGATTAGATTTACTTTAGACGATTATATTTATATTGCTTACTCCATCGTATTTCGTACTGAGGAAAATTAAAAAATGTCTGTAAAAATATTAAGTTGTATTTGGTTTTAACATTTTAAACAACTTCAAATTTTGGTTCTATAGTTTTGGTAACGCAAAAAATTACATGATAATTCCAAATAATCGAACACATTATTTCGTCGTTATTTGGATAACTAGACCTTTTTTTCTTGTCATTATATAAATATATTGAAACCACAAAATGTTCCGTATGAACAATAAAATCTATTTAAAGGGATACTGTGATTAATACACGTAAACTTATCATATTTTTTTCAATAAAATATCTATCATGCTCCACGTGTGCTGATCACAACCTCCCTTTATTAATAAAAATGTTGTTGTTCATACCGTAGATCATTTATTGTTTTTACTGAACGTCACAGTGGGCAACAAAAAATTTTGCATGTTTTTTCCATATTATTTTTTAGATATTTGTGGTGTAATTACTAACACTACGGAATCAAAACTACCTGAAACATTTTGTGAATTAATAATGAAGGAGCATAACAATGTGACAGATTGTGTACCTCTCAAGGAGAATTCATTAAGTAAGTAAATTAATTAAGTAGGTACATTAACTCATACTTTAATAACTCTAATACCTTACCTTTTTACAGTCGTTCCATTTAATTCTCAAAAACTTGAACTGAAAATTCGTGATGCTCAAGAAACCGAAGAAATTGAATTCCAGGAGATTGATTGCGACGATTTATCTAAGAACTCCAACAGTTAAATGCTGACGTTGTGATATTCTTCTGCTGTATGGATCACACACACTAAACTGTACAAATAATAAAAGGCTTCTTTATCCCAATTTTATTAACATGTTTTACGGAAGTTGGAAATTTATTATTTATTAAATGTATATAAACATGATTGGTTTATTTATAATTTTTATATCGTTACGCACATTAGGATTAACTGATTCATGTAGTCACATTCATTCAAAGAAAAGGACAACAATGTTCTAACACACTAACAGTCTTAAAGTATGACTACAAAATAAATTCAATAAAGAATTGAAGTCTAACTTGACTAGAATAAGTACGATTCAGCTTAATTCTTATTTACAGTTGAACAAATTTTTGACGATAACTCCCCACAACTAAATCGAAACAAAAAGTACTTGCTTATGGCCTTAATTTTTCTCCTAAAGGCAACTTGTGAAATATTGCATAAACAAGTCATTGCTTTAAAAATATTAAGAACAATCATTTGGATGATACTTGAACAGATATGTTTAGGTTTCAACAATTAAAATTTCGCAGAAAAATTCGACGTTTGAGGAGTATCGAAATTGGATGTTTTGTCAACGTCTTGTTTGGAACAAACAAAACTGGTTGACAATGGACAGAATTAAACTGTTTCAAAGGGAAAAATGACGGCTAACGATTAATACGACCAAAGCGTTTGCCAACAATTTTTTACTACTAATATTTCGTTTGCAGTCACATGTTCCGTTGCAGTCGACAGATTTACCCAAGGAATCGAATGTTGGTGAAGATCGCAGACGCGGGTCTTCTTCGGTTGCAAAAACTGATCATTTGACCCCGGTTCCCTTGACGAGCTTCATGTAATGCCACAAGAAGACGAAATACATCTTCCTTGCTTGGCTGACATAAATAGCGATTTTCGGCGTCGTATCTAAACGAAATTAATTAACGTTTAATATTACCACGGTACACCATAATAATTCCGCTTATGTAATTTGTTAGATACATTTATAATTTACATGTAACATGTTTGCCTTTTGAATGAGCACTATACACTCAAATGGGTGTAACTTGAGGCATTTTAAGTAGAAATGTATATAAATATGAACACACTTCGTGGAGAATAACAATTATGATTTCTTTATTCATTAGAGTTTAAAATTACGTTCAGATTTATCGTTAATTTTGTTAAGAGATGTTCACCTGGTAGTAGTTACCTAGAATTTTGTCGTTTCCAAGGGTATTTTCTGTAATATCTTGACCTCTTGAACGGAATATTAGCGTTCTCTTCGACATCGACAGGATCACTTTCAACTGTCTCGTCGCCTTGGAAGTATTCCGGAGGTGCATTTTCTACATAAACGAGAGGGCTTAAACCTCTAGGCCAAGGCTGGATCAGAACGTTGGCTAACATTTTTCCTAAGTGTTCTAATTTGGCATCTTCATACTGGTTTACGAACGATAGGTCATCCTCACCTAAAACCGGAAAAATTTATTTTAAAAATTATACAGTAAAATGAAACATGGGGATGATTATACACGCAATGGAGTATGCTATACACACATTTTAGGCGGAATTTTCGTAATAAAATTATGTGATGACGTCATCATATTTTTGGTTGGAATTAAGATAAACTTTGGTCCATATATTTATTATCATTAACAATAATCCGCCCGGTCTAGTTTCAGAAGTTATTTATCTAATAAAATCGCCATCAGACGACAGACAAACGAAAACGCGCGATTACAATGTTTTCTTATACCTACTCTTTAGTAAAAAGTAGATTTGATGGGAGAGGGAAAAGTTTGAAAAAAAAATGTTTTCCATGTTTTTTTTTATTTTACTGAGAATATAATTCATGGATCACATGACCCCATTTCTTCCAATAGAATTTGTCCATGCCCTTAGTTACATGTCTATCACAGCGATAATAATTTTATTGCCTTATTGTGGTCTGTTGCTACCTAAATTTAAAAACTGTCAAATTTGACAAATTTTAGAATTTCATAAATTTTTTTGTCTATTATGGCTTGCCAACGTTGGGGGCAAGCTCAAAAGGACGAAATCAATTCTATGATAAAAAAATATGTTCATTTATTATATTCTCATGTTGAATATAACTCGTGATATGATTAATAATCGAAGATATGGCTCGTGAAACCGAAGCAGCACATTCAACTCGTGCTTCGCACTCGTTGAATCTGCAGCTCGGTTTCACTCGAAATATTATCGATAATAATCATATCACTTGTTATATTATAATTGAATATATTTTAAAATAATTATTTTAGCTAATCACGTACTAAGGTTTATTTTGATGAGAGAATTTCATAATTATATAAATTGACATTATTATTGTAAGTAGCATTTGATCAGTAGAAGCAGATTTTTTTTAAGTTTTGTTGATAGTCTCTTCCACGGTTTCGCAGCAGATTTTGCATTTATTTAAAAGTTTAATTTTTCTTTACATTCACACAGACAGAAGTTCTAATCAATGAAATATTGTAATTTTTTTAATTCCTGTAGTAGGCGCGTTTATTGATCCTCTGTATTAAAAAATGTGTATAAGCCTGGGATTGTTATGAAATTCATACACAGAAAAAAATAGGTTAAAATTACCTTTTATGAATGATTCCATTCTTTTTCGTTTATATTAATTTTACCGGAATTTTTATAATTCTCAACTCTTTAGTTTGACAAATCTTTGAAGCGTAAAAATGTGTTTATATAATTATCATACTTATGTGTCCTAATTTTACTCACCTAGAGAATTATTTACTTTTTGAATTTGTGTAAATACTTTCGAGCAAAAGAAGTTAAGTAATATGTGGCGAACCAGTGAGTTACATCTTTTTATACATACTGTAAAAAAACTCTAACTGAAGTGTCATCAAACGTCATCAGTTTTTGGTTTGTCAACACGTTTAAGAAAAGATTAATTATGCCCGAATTCCGAAATGATGTTATAACGTATGGAGTAACGAGACGTTTGCTAAATTCAACATTATTCCAAAAACGTATTATATCATACATAATTTTTTTTATACAGCTTTTTAACCACAAAACAGTTGCTATTATAATTGGCTTATATCGATTTACAGATGTTTACATACTGTACATTTTTATGTGTATATCATTATTATAATTTCATATTGTGTAATAATGTATGTATGTATAACATTAGCCAAGCGGTTTTTCTCATCCCCATTGTTCGCAATAGACGACGAAAAAGACAGCTTGCGTTTCAACTTTTTGTTGATATCACATTTGTTTTGTATACCTAAGTTTGTCATTAAAAAAGTTAATATAATTGGGAAAAACTCGTAAACATGGGATCCTTTATGATGTTGCAAAATATAGTACATTGTAGAATAGAAACGAACAGCATTTATTACATTATGAACAGAGAGCGGATTCGCGAACTTTTTTTACGATGGTTAGCGAACCAACATTGTATAGTACAGTCAATTCGGCATAAGGCCGGTATTTTGGGTAGGCAGCAGTTTTTTTGGAGGTGAGTCTAAAACTGAGTTTTCGGGACTGGGACTGCTGTCATTTTGCCGCCATCTTGAAAATTAAGTTAAAACAAAAACATGTACCTATGCAATAACAGTAATTAAGAACAAAATTTGACAACAATCGGTCTAGTAGTTTCAGAGATTATCTATCTAATAAAAATGAACACAGACGACAGACAGACGGAAACGGGAGACTACTTCAGGGATCATTAAACCTCGAGACAACATGAAACTGGCAATCGGCCGGTGGACTCGATTACAATAATTTTACTTTTTAGTTTACATTCGGGAAGCAAAAATTTTGGAAAAGCCCCGTTATGTAATTTCCTCTATATATACATACTCTCCCCTGAACACCTTTTTCACCAGCTGCCATGATAACGCGATGGGCATATAGTTAGAAGCTTGTGACTTTTATTTCAAATATTTTAAAAATTTACTCGTAAAATACTTTGTTTTTTATTAAATGGTGATGCTTGCAGCGTTACGAAGTGCTAGGAAATGATTGAAAAATATAACATTCAAAACGATTTATGAAAATTTTGACCATTTATTAAATATGATTGTTTACATAGAACGTGCAACTCTTAAGTTGGATGAAGCTTTGAGAAAAATAAAAATTACGGTTAATCAATTGAAAATCATTCGAGGGGAATTGAAAAGTCTTTAGCAACAAAAGTCGACTCTGTATTCAATAGGAACTCCAATTTCAATGTCTTATATGAGTTCGGTGAAGGAATGGACTCCGGTACCAGTGCGAAATAATAGTTCTTTGTAGCTACACAGGTGATTTCGAAATGTGTCCACAAAAAAAAGGGGAATAGCTCACAGTAAGATTTATTGCAATGTGTAAAATTCACAACTGAAATGGTAGGAAAGTCTAGAGAAATTTATTTGAAATTAAATTTCAATTGTTATACACGCCTTTGGTAGTGTTTTTTGATCTACCATAAGTACTATTCAGTGAATGGCCCAGAACGAATAGGATTAAGAACAAAAAAGTCGGCGCACTGATAAGCAACGTGTAAAAACATGATAAGGGTCAGTTACTTATGTATAAGTTGGGTGCCGTCGTATGTTTTGTTCGAATAAACAATGTGGAATTGTCGTGGCAAGGACCAAACATCTATCAGAATAAAAAGTCGTTCACCATGAAGCATTACCAAAAATCGGTTTTTCTCAGTACCAACATTTGTTTCTACAACTACTTAATAATAATCTTTCGCACTGATACCTTTAACGATGAATGAATACGTGAATCAACGAATGATAACCAGTAAAATGTCGGTTTTACTTTTAACTGAAACTGAAAGTTTTACATCGTTTTTATTCGAACTTTTTTCCACATTGCTGTAGGTGGATCAGTGGCATCGCATCGAGGGTGGTTCATGAGGGTTTTTCCCCATTCGACTTTTAATTTATTTTTTATACATTTCCTCATTACTACGGTACGTGATGTCGTGGTTACAATTATTGCGTATATCGTAAGTTATCAATTCAAGAATTATTTAGATAGCAATGTCAAGTGGAAATTGTGTAACACTTTATTGATCTCTAATTTTGATTATTGCTCATCCGTATATTATCAACACTTTACAAAGGAATTCAAATGTAAATTACAGCTAATGTAAAACATATGTCTTCGATTTAGCTATTTATTACCATTCAGAGAACATATCACGCGTAACTATTTCAAACTAGCCATTTTAAAAATTGAAGAAAGATTTAATTTGATGTATATAAGAGCTGTATTTAGCATAATCAAACAGGGAGAACCAGTGTATTTAATAAAATGTCTAAGAAGGAAAGAAGAAATACACCAGCGCAATCTTAGCAATAAAGAGCCCTATGATATTTCTAAACACGCTACGGAAAAATTTAAAGCTTCATTTTCATATTGTACAAAAATTCTAAATGAATACGGTGACAAAATTATAAGTATCAATAGTTTTATTTCTTTAAAAACTCAAATTGTTGAATATTTTCTATCGAAATACTTAAGTTAGTTTACAATAACATTTGTATTAAGTTTATTTAGGATTTAGAGGGGATGCTGAAAAACGCACTAAGTGCGATGCACTTTTAGTTTACAATCTTCTGTTGCTTCTAATAAATATTATTATTATTATATTTCACTCTGTACATAAGATAACTTAATATGAATATACAGCGTGTTTTTTGCATTACACGGAAAGAAAAAATGTAGTGAATGATTTAGGCATTATACTAAGGTAAATAAACGATTCTGTGCTTAGTAAAACCTTTCAGGAATATTGAACCCCTATTTAGGCATTCACACCACCACTGGTAAATAAATCCCCTCAAAATTCAACAACTAAAGTTGTGACGACCTGTATATTATATTCACGGCCTTTTTGTATCTTGGTGAGCCATATTTTTTTATTTTTGTTGACTAGCATAACTACAGACGTGGTTTCTTTAATGTCACATCCAACGTATGTTTCATCCATGGTAGTTCGCCATTGGTGAAAATGAAAAATTAGGACACTGAAAATTTTAGCATTATAAATTATTCTTTAAAAAGTCAATCAAAATGAAAATGATATTTCTCAATAATTCAGTTATATTGCAGATAATATTCTATTTTATCCTCGGTTTTATTTAACACAGATGAATAACTCGCAATGCTTTCCTCATTGTCGCCACATTTGCCAACTGTGACCGAGTTTTTTTTTGTCCACCGATGGTAGCACAAAAATTGTGTTTTTCTTTTTTAATCAAGTAAGTAAAATTTTAAAGGCATTAACGTCAAAACAATTACATTCAAATCAAAAAGTAACTCCATTTTAATCAAGAAATATACTGGCCTGACCAGAGTAAATAAATTTAACAAATCCTACTAGCATGTTTTCTGTAACTTACCTACAAAGATCTCGTAAACGTTTGCTCTCGAAATATCTTTATAGGTGAGTCCTGCAACTGTTTCAAAGCCTCTTGTGACCAAAGATAAAAACTTATCAACTTCATCCTCTAGTATAAGAAAACCAAACGGAATTTTGTTTTGAAAAAAGCAACGTCTTTTGTCTGATACCGAATTTATTAGAACTTCACGAAATAGAACGTCTTTCAAAATTATTAAATGTATCCGTTACAAACAAAATATGTCACTGCAGCAAAAATATATTTTTTTAAATTTCTAGATACTTGTGTAGATGTAACATTTGTATACCTCCACCAAACGGACCTTCCAGTCCGAGCAAAATTACAAGTGAAGGTTCAAGATTTACAGTCTTGTATGCGGGTTATCATTTGGGTTTTTTAGAAGAATGTAACTTTGTATTATAATATTAATTGACATAAACATTACATAGAATTTATTCGGATTTTACCTCCGCTCATTATTTCTGAGCGGAAGCAGATAATCCAGAATTAGAATTAGAGCACGACAACAAAGGCGGCTTAGATTTATAGGTACAACGAAATAAAAAATGCTGAGTTTGAACAACAGGTAGAGTTAAATTATTAATAGGTGAAAATATCTAATAAAACTCTTAACATTTAAGGGCATCTAACTAGAGGAACTTTGTTTCTTTAAAATTAAAATACAATAGGTAAAATTTCATTTAGATAGTAGATTTACCATCTGGAAAATATTTTAAGCTTGTAAAACATTCATGAAGAAAAAATGCATGCGAAAATACACTAGAAAATTATGGAATAATTTGCGAATTCCTGCAACATTTAGTCAAGAAAAGTAAGAAAGAAAAATCTATTCTCTTTTGGGTACATAAACAGAAATTTTTTGTAACTGAAATGCACCTGACATCAATTTTGAACAGTATCTCTTCCATTAACGATTAATTATTGCATTCGCCCTTCAGTTAAAAAATATTTTCTGAGATTTAAATACATAAATATTCAGCAGAATTTTGAAGTTCTGAATGTTAAAAATTTAGTTTAATAATAATGTTTTTGATGATATTTAAACTGATATGAATGGTTAGGTTTCTGACACAGTTCACAACCTTAAATAGACAATCCAATCAACATAAAGAATGCCAGTCTTTTTCAAGAAGTTTTAGTTTACCAATGTTGATTACCAACCAAGTTACTAGATTTCCATAGCTTACTGCGGCTGCAGTCTAAAAAGGTCGTGGATGCATTAGAACATTTATAACCCAACGATTCTAGTGTCATTGCTCCTCCTAATAAGCAACAAGATTTACTCGGTAAAAATTTGAGTTTAATATGTTTAAAGCAGAAATTTTTAGGTAAAATCTGACAGAATACTGGACTAGTATTTTATAAATTAATTTCAGTCCATTTTATACCACGGAACAAATTTCACTTGAACATTTTACTAGAAAACTTATCAACACAACCAAAGTTTTTTGCCAGGGTTAAAAATGTACTATCATACATATATAGTGAGAATATTTTATTATATTTTTTCAGATCATAAGCCTGAGAAACCGCAACGGCAGATAATCCACATTTAAAGATTGAAGAAATAATACTATTATAATAATCCCTACTTAGTTAAACAGAATTTTAGTCGCTTTTCGGACATAGACTTCGGAAATTCCAGCTCGTACAACCATTAAATAAAATATTGCTTATTTTATTTTAAAGGGTTTTAGAAAACTTCGTTGGGTTATAATGTTTTATAATTAATAAAATTAGAGTTCCAAACCAGCGTAGGAATATTTTACACACATGATATGATTAACCGAATGCTCCAAGGTATCATTCAATTTTATTTACGTGCGTTGGGAGAATTTGTATTCATTATAATTAACGTTTGCCACTTACATTCATCAAGTCGTTACTCATGTTGCTAATGTTTTATGTCATAGTTCAATTTACCAGGTTTACTTTTAATGAAAATTTATTTCTGAAACGGGTGGTACAACCCCATATTGTTTGTTATTATTCCTATGATAATAATTATTGCATCATTTCTGTATGACAAATAACCAGTGGCGGCTCGTGACTGTCTGATGTGGTGAGGCGATGATAGAAGTTTGACAATAATAATATTAATAATAATATTAATAATCAAATTAATTAAATTAATGTGAATAATGCATATTACTAGGTCTTACTAGTTAGTAATGATAGAAGTCTTGCCCGAATACCAGTCATTTCCGGGTCAGTGGTAGGTCCTAATAATAATAATAATAATAATAACACCCATAACACATTTAATCAACAATGTTTTTATAAGTCAAAATTTTGTTTAAACTGTAGCAAAGTAAGCCTATTCAAATGTGGCGCGCCTGACGGAATCGGTACCGGTCGGTTGGTAGGACAGGCAGGCAACCATATATCGAAAGTAACGACACACTACGACAGACGCACGTTGTCGCCCACGTTTTTTGTGAATATACGTTTTGTTATTAATTAAGAGGGTTTTAGTTATTATTGTTAGCGCCCAAAACCCTCCCACAAAACTAGCACTTTCTTGGTGGAATTCGGGAATGGTTGTTGTGTTCCTTTCTAAAGGTTTTAGGCCCATGAAATTTTTAATGTGTACTTTGGAACTTTCATGTAACTTTGCACTTCGGATGAAATTATTTAAATCGTTATATCCCGGGACGTCGTACGAATATTACGGCAGAGCCATTTATATGTTTCGTGCCAAGTTGACTTAAAAGACTTGGAGTACTGACGATTCTGTCGCTTATCAATGGAAGTTAAACGAATTAGCGGTTTTGATTGCTCGATATTTAGCAAAATTTGCCGACGTTCTAGCTCGGTTCGTCGTGAAAACGGCGTTTCAAGAAGGAACATGACGATATGGTACTCGGGATTCATTTTTCACTCACCTGTACCTATAAAAGAGACAAAAACACGAAACATCAACACGTGGGCTTTTACTCACGTTCATGCTAATTACCCACGCACCCCGCAACCCTTCCGTTCTGTAAATTAAATGGGAAAATGGTTTAATGAGTACGCCGAAAATGGCCGAGAAGCACCGAAGACATCGCTTCAGTTCCGAGCGAACGCATGCATAGGAGTATAGGAGCTGAGCCATGGAAATCCGTGTCTGTGATTGGGCTTCGTTGGTTCAAGTGAACCGACGTTCTGACCGCTTCAGTTAAAGAACTAGGGGCATAAATCGTACGGTATTCAACCGAAAATGTCAGCAGAAAGCGTAAAAATTAAAAAATCATCCACAGATTTGCCATTTCAACATATTTTTGTAACTAAAAATGCATTGAAAGCTCTTTTTTAATTACAAATTAAGTCAATCTGTTCTTAAGATATGTGCTGTGAGGCGCCGCCTCACTTGCCTCATTTGACGAGCCGCCACTGCAAATAACTACAAAGAAACATTAATGTCTTTTTTGTAGGCTATCTTTATATGTAAAGAGTTCATTGATATATTTTATGATGAATGGTGTATAGGTATATAATTGTTAACATTACTGAAACCAAAAAGATGAAGTCCTTTTCGGTATATTTCGAATAATTCTGTAAAAATGAAAATATCTAAGCATAAAAGATATTGATCTTAAAAGAGGTAGTTAACTTTGTGATAATGAGTATGAAATAACATTAAAACGGGAACAATACCGCAATATGACTGGCATAAAGAAATTAATTTCGCGATAATCTCATAATAAAAATCTAAAAAAGGAGAAAAAGCGAAACCTAATTAACTAAGGAAGGTTCGTTACACTGTAAATCTGCTTACGATCGGAAACATTAACCAGTGATGATTAAAAATTACTTTATAAGCAGTCACTCACCTATATTTACTAAATTCGGATCGACATCTTCATCGTTGAGGCTTTGAGGTAAGTTGCTATGGAGGAGTTCTGTAGCTGATGCTGTGTATCGCACAAGTAATAAAAATGTTACTTCTGCGTACCATCCCATCTTGAAGTGACAGGTTTACCAACAACTGAAATATAAGAATGTGTCTGAAAAAAACTGAAATACTACCGTTAAAAAAAATCAATCTTAAAAAAATTAAAAGAAAAGTACAGGTTTTGGAGTGAAAATTATTATATTTGTGTACGCAAGGGTAAAACACAAAGCCATCCATCTGAACGTGTATACTAAAATGACACAATGCATAATAACTTGTATATAATCTCGTTAAAACCTTAACGAGTCATGAAGGGTTATTTAGCTGAGCATCAAAGTTTTACTTAATTAAAGTTTTGCTTAAAACGGATGGGTTTAATTTTGTTCTGAGGTGAAAAGATTGTCTATGACACATATTCGGTGATTAATCCTCACATTTATTAGGTTTGTTTGTGGCAGGTTGTTGAAAAAAACAAAATATTGACGTGTAGCTCGTGACCTTTGAGATAATACTAATAAATTACGCGTGTCGGTTGCAACCAGTTGTCAATCAGTACTGTTGAGTGTTTATGCGATTTTTTTGTTGTATTTTCCCAATTATCAGAATTGTTGTTTTTGACATATTTTGTTCCATTATTGTTTACAGTGTCGAAAAATAGAGTTGTATATAGTATATTTTTAGAAGTTATTACAATTTTAAAATAATAATGATAAAAGGCGTTGACAGCAAAAAATATAGCATTTTTAACTCTGAACATATGTATTAAAGGATAAAGTATGGACTTAATCATTCTGTTCAGTTTTAAAAAATCACATCCATGAATTGAAAGTATGCAACCAATGTTACATCAAGCTTCATTCATTCTAGAAAGGAAAAAAAAAAAGAAAAACGAAATATAAACTTGTTTGAATAAATTATTTAACAAAAATGTAAAGAATGTTTCTACTCGATGCGTCGAGTAGAAACACCACAAATGAAATGGAACAAATTATGTTTTAACTGAAGAAAAAGGAGTTAAATATCTTATGCAAACAAAATGACAAAATTATGTACTTTTAATATGTGTGAAAATTAGGGTTTATTGAGCAAGATATTTTATTGTCATATTTGTTATTATTTTAACTGATTAGAGGATATAGTAATTTTCGAAAACTTTTCAACACCAGGAGGTAAAAAGCCACTCTTACCTTTTTGTAACTGCCTTGTCATATCGTATATAATGTTAAAAATGTGGAGGTTGCACAATATAATATATAATCGGGTCATCCATGGAATTAAATCCATATGTATTCACTGAAATGATATGTTTAACACTAGATGTAAAGCTCATTATCGAAAAGTTTTTAACCAAATTAGTTTTAGTTCTGGATAATTTTTGTAAACCTAATATTCGAAATAGACACCCAAAAAGGCAAATACTTGTAAACTGGTGCTTAAATTTGATTTATATTTTACGCCACTTTTAGGAATTTTATTTGCGTATTTGCGTATTCACTCATAAGTGGCATTCTCAATGAAGCAGAAACCGTTTATAACTGAGTCGTATTTTCCAAATGGACAGAACGCAAACTGTGCGTGGGAGTAGTCGATTCAAGCCGCTTGGGAAGAATTACATGAAGAATCGTCGACTCCGCCCATTTTTGCAACTCATTACAACGATGTGTGATAAAATTCCGAGAAATCTCGCCTCTGCAAACAATAATTATAAATAAAATGATTATAAACTAGGGCTGACTGTTGTGAGTAGTCTTTACATATTTCATAACCGGTTGTTGAAGAAAACATTTTTTACGACGAAGCCTGGTTTCATCTGAGTTCTCAAAACATGCGAACATGGAGCCTCAAATTTTCGAATTTTCATAATATGAATTTTCATATTATGTTGAGATTTCCTTCCCTTTAACTTCAAAAAAATGGTAAAATTAATCAACGATGGATATACGGTCTATATACTTATACAGGGTTAGTCACGAGAGAATTACTTCTGAAAATTATTTTTACGCAACCCAAAATACGAATACCATGTACCATTTGATACTAACTGAATTTAAAATGAAATGCTTAATCCATGATTGCTTTGAGTTTGGCAATCTCATTTTGACAATTGTGGAAAATGAGGTTACGCGAGTGTCCATGGTGGTACCGCAACCAGTCGGAAATCTCCTCCGGCGCCGCTAATAAATTTGTCAGTGTGCCTCTTGATCTTTTACAACCGATTAATCACGAGAAAATTATTTCTAAAAATTCCTTTTACGGCATTTTATTCAAAGGTTACAACACAAACTCAAACAAGTAAGTAAATAATTTAACTACTAATCTGTTGAAAATGTTGGGCGTTTTGGGGGGATGCTACGGCTTTTTTGTAAATGGATGGCCGAAGAAGTCCAGAGGTTGCAGATTTGCACTTCGAAGAGGCTCTACGTGACGTAGAGATGGCGAATTAACACATACACATTAGCGGCGAACAACATTGGTAGAGCACTTACGGCTTCAGTATAGCCCAGATTGATCTGACTGTATGTCGTCGATCCAATGGAGCTCTAGAGGCGAGTCAACGATGAAAAAAAATGTTAGAAATTAATTAACGTCAAAGTGACACTGTCAAAGTCAAAGCAATCATGGATTAGGCATTTCATTTTAAATTTAGATAATATCAAGTGGTACAGGGTATTAGTATTTTGGGTTGCGTAAAAATAATTTTCAGAAGTAATTCTCTCGTGACTAACCCTGTATATTCTTTAAAGATAATCATGGCAATAATGGTACCTAGTTTATTCTATGTATTATCTTTCAAGGTACCGAACCACTGCTAGACATCAGCAATAAATTGTGGCAGATTTTATACCAAAACTTCACGACGATGAAATGGAAGTAGGTTAGTTTCAACACGACGGGGCTGCAGCTCATTCGGATCTCTTTTACTCTTAAGGGATAAAATTTCTGTTACGTACCAATACCACTTTTCCTATTGTTGTCCACAGCACCTTACATGCACCTAATTTCTTATATAATACCGTTTGACTTGATCGCACGTTTGTAGTGCTTTTTAGTCTAAAAACTGTGTACTCAGAATTTAGTACAAATTGTGTGAACCGTCTTTAATTTGATCAGTACAACAGATTGTTTCATTCCGTGAAATTAAAATAAAATACATTACTAAATCACAAATAAAGAGATTTATTTATCAAAGTTTTAAGAAGAAAAATATTTACACAAATAGGCTGAAAGGAGGAATAATACTACTTGAGCTTTACCCAATCAAATAAAATCAGAATAAATAACAATTTAAGTGAAGAGAAAAAGTCAAATCATGGTGCATGAAAGGCGCATGATTTCACGAGTGAAAAAAAAAACAGTTAAGACCAAAGAAATTAAATACGAGTAATATAATATGTTTTAACTATCCCGCAGAAATTATTATGACATCAGAAAAAAAGTCACTAACGACGTTAAAAGTACTGAACAAATCTGACAATGAATAGTTCTTTTTTTTTATTGAAAAGGCCAGATTATTGGAGAATGGCATGCCAACGATTGGTGTAGATATAAAAAACTTGAAAAGAGGCGAATGATCTAAAATTTTTTAAACAGAACTGTCCTCAGTTCAGTTCAGAAATTTTGGAAACCATTTAATAAAATTGACGATAGACAGATGATAAACAGCGGGGGACAAATATACGTATGCAAGCAGGCGGCCGATATCTTCCTCTACCAGTTGTGAAACGTGTACAAAATATGAAATTGCGTAGAAATACTTCAAAAATTACAAAACTTTCCCAGTTGTTTACCCTTGGGAAGTAAAAAAAACACCAGGAAACATGCATCAGCTAAAACAGATTTAGAAAAATGATGCATATGTGTATCTAAATTATTTGTTCTTTTAACAGTTTTCAGAGAGTTTGAAATTGATATTGTCTTCTTTAAATGGTTTAACGTATAACGTCTACTGTTTCTGACTGTTAAGACGTTATTGTGAAAACTCTAAACCGTAAACTTAACTTAATCTAACAGTATACATTACATAGCCATTAAAAAATAAATCGCAACTTTTAAAAGTGTCTAGGGAAACTTGGGAAAAAAATCGCTTGGTTCTCTCGGTAAAGTGGGACTTCGTAGAATACAATACTGATGTTGATAACAAGTTTAGTACTTTTGTCAACACTCTACTGCTTAATTATTATATTATTTTTTCTGATAAAACGACAAAATTTTATAACAAGTGCAGAGTTTCATGCAGTAGTGTGTTTATTACTGAAATCATCTTAACGAAATGTAGATATATCGTCACTGCCAGTATTATTCAAATGTATTATTAATATTAATACCATCAGTTTGGTTTTTGTAAAGGCTTATCTGAAGCTATAATCGCATTTACACATAAGTAATAAGTATTATTTATTAGAATTTTAAACGCAAAAAATTTAAAATGACCAGTTTTTTAGATTTAGGTATAGATTTTAGAAGTTGCTTGATTCGTAGCATTTGATATTTTAAAAATTAGCACTTTTAGAGCGTAATTTTTAATTCCAGGATATATTCTTTTACTACTTACTATTCCCCTGGATTCGTCGATATATGAACGTGACTATCTCGGCAGCCCAAATTCATCTCGTATTAAATTTTTGAACAGTGTGCTTCAATAATTAAAAAAGAAGTCAAATATATTGTTTTTTCACTAGCAGCCAGGACGCATGCAAATGTCGACTCATTTAGTGGTAGCAAATTCAACTTTTGCGACCACCGGTTCAAAAAGAAAAATTGAGGTTATGTACGCAATGTTTGATGTGATTATTTCTTAAAAAATGAACAAATGTGTGCTACAAACATTACTTGAGTATACGCATGGTAGTTGGTAGACGGTAGAAGATAAAATGATTAACTCAGCGACAAGTATAAACGGTTTTCTTTGTGTTGAAGATTTAGATTAAGTTTGATTAGACATCAAAACAAAATCATGTTGCGTCCAAAAATTGAACGTTTATTTTTTCAGTTTATTGTCTTATGGTTTCTACTAGTGAAAAAAATAGTATATTAACCACGGTTGCAAAGCCACTTCTAGACCTCGCGCTTCAGAGCCCTCGACGCTGCGCGTCTCGGGTTCTAATTTGCGCTCGGTCTAGAATGCTTGGCTCTGCAACCTTGGCTAATAATATACTATTTTAAAACATGTTAATATATTATGTACTCGTATACTGTTTGGCAAAACTTATTGTTCAAAAGTGTCTATTTACGAGTATATATTTTGTTTATTTAGATGGCGCGTAAAGTATTTGTTGATACAAACTGCTATTTAGATTGTTGTTATTGTTACTATTATTCCTATTTTTATTTGATGAAGTTTTCGAAAAAAAGTTATTAGACATAAATGATATTTCTTGACGTTTTACAAACAAAAAGTGCATATAACATCTTGCACTTCCACAGAGCTAGAGCTGCATCATAAAAAGATAAATCAAGAACATTTTAAAGGCTTGTGTAATTTTGTAGCCATAAACTTTAGAATTAAACTTTCAAAAATGTATAGTACAGTATGTATAGTATGATACGAGTGGTGGTACTTTGGAAAGCTATATTTTAGATTATCTAGACATTATATACCCTCCCAGTAAACCTTTAGCTCATGGTTGTGGCCAATAAATCAGAGGCTTTGTTCTGTCAAACCCTTGTTTTTTGTCGTATTTGGTACAAATCGATTCATTTTTTTACAAAGTGCACATTCTATTTTAATAAAAGGGCAATTTATCCGCCAACAAAATTCATCTTCATTTCTAAAAGTAGCCATTCAAACCTTCTTTGGATACCAAGTAAGTAAAGGGTGATCAAAAAATTTTCAGATTAGGATAGGCTACGAAAACATTTAATTTTTTTTATTAAACCGGTAAATCTTACAAGTGTCAATGTGAACAAATCGGAGACCATTCTGAATTTCGAAGATATACTTGTTTGAAATTTAATTTGACAAGTTTGAATTTTGACGTGTGAAGTTTAACCCTAGTTAAGCCTATTCTAATGTAAAAATTGCTTGATCTCCCTTTATATAAATTATGATAACTGATTATTCTTCAATTTTAACTGACTCTTGCCTTATAACAATATATTTCTTTTTAGTTAACAGTTACTCAGATCAATCAAAGGTAAAAATAAATTATATTAAACACAGCAGCTCTGACCAGACGCCTTTTGAATGTAAAGCATCATCAAAATTATGTAATCGAATTTCCGTCCTCAGAAACCGGGGACTAATTGCAACAAGTGATTCCAATTTCATAGATTCGAACGGGCAGTGGTTTACTTTGCTAGCACTTTGAACAACTTTATTGACAAAATCTGGTATAAAACAGGGTACAGAATCCCTGTGGTAGTTTTGAAGTACATTGCTCTCAAATGATTAAAAAATATGTCACTGTCTTTTCATTAAATACAAGCAGACTTTATGAAAAAAAAATCACTGTGTGTAAATAATTATTGCAGGTAGGTAATAAAGCGGGCGCTGACTTCTGCCGTCTTTTTGAAATAAGAATTGTACTCAAATGTGGTTGAGGCATACCAAGTGTTATGCATGTGGATTATTGAAACATAAAATCGGTATTACATGTGAAACTATTTATCGTGCAAATTCAGTAATTAAAAAATTAATATCGATTTAAAAACATATTCAAAGAATAAACTAATTTGTCAATTTGTCTATCTGCAATGAACTCAACAAAAAATGTAAAAAAAGTGACAGAACTGGTTAGTTTTCTATAGTGATTAAATTCTACTAGTAACTGAATTTTTTTTAGTGCATGACGACAGAGTTAAGATCCAATTTTTTATTAAACATTTTAAAATAGCAAAATTTAAAAACTTGGGTACAAATTAAATTTTACTTACTTAACTTAACTTGCGATTTTTTTTCTGTTTTACCAAAACATTTTTTTTTCTGTGATATATTTGTATGTAACAGATTTGTGATGTAAAATTTAAACCGTATGGCAATTATATTCAACTGATGCCATTTAAATTTCTATTTATTTTTTAGACAGTGCGAGATATAAATGGGAAAAAATATGAAGGATTAAAACAGAATATTAATAATAACAAAATAGTGGATATTATTGGATAAAAATGTGAAAAACATTGCTTTACCGTTTCACGTGAAAATGAAAGTAAGCCGTCATATTTTATTCAGAGTAAATGGCCAGAGAAACAAAACAATACTGTCACAGAAAAAATTGGTTCATTCACCTGCGCTTATGAGTGTTTTTATTAAAATTCAGTTAGTTTTTACATCGTGTTATATAAATGACATCGAAAAATATTTTTACTGTATTAATTGAATTTGAATAAAATTTTTTGTGTAAACAGTTCGCTTGTTTTGTGGGCCTGTGAAAACATTTAATGTTATACTAATGAATGCTGCTTTACAAAGCGTTTTAAATATTTTTTTTTGTTTTTCATAGAGGTTAAAATAAATTGATAGCGGTTTTTAATCACTTTGTAACTTCGTACCAATACAACATTTATACTTTGCTTACTTTTGACACTGGCTTGAAGTACACACTCACTCACGTAAATCGCAACGTTCACGAGAGCGCGAACAAACTTTTCAGCTTTCAGCGTTTCAGTCGTGTTGTGGTGGAGTTACGCCTATATGTTGCGTCTTTTATACTTGGCTGATGCGCACTGGCAATTATGTGGGTGTTGAATAAAATGTTGCAAACAAGAGATTTTTCTTAGGGTTCTTCCCAGAAAATGCAACAAGTAAATTTAGTGTATCCTTATCTAGTCCCGTGGATTTTTTTATGACGTATGTAATAAAAGCTGGGGTAGGGTATATACTTTTTTGATTTATGGCTATGAAATCGACTTTAATTACTCAAAGTGGCATCTGCAAAACGAGTTTTGTTTTTCTGACCGCATTTGCTAATTCACAGTTTAATTAAGTAATTTCACAGCTTCGAATAGATAGTACAGATTAATTACTTTATTACCCGTAATACGTGGAAGATGATGAGTGCGTTTTATTAGGAGTTTTAGTTGGAAGTGTAATCAGAAAGAGGCGAAAACAAGAATATTTTATTACCACAAAATCACGAAAGAATGTAGTTTAAAAGATTCCGCAAACGAGAAAAGTCAATAAAAAAGATGAGTTAATTAAGTGGTGAATAAAAAATTTACTCCAATGAGTAGAAAACTGACTTCTGAAATTTTTATCGTAGCGAATGCTGAGCTTGAAAATGAGGTCCCCAGTATTAAAGTCTGTGAATAAAAAAATATTACCACGTACGCCAAGGACGATTTACTTTTTCATTGAATAAAGCAGAATTTGTAGTATTGTAAGATTTAATTTTGGCTTCTTAGCTGCTGCTATATTTTCTTACAATTATGTAAATTAACCCAATTATGAAGCCACGAACTAAAACAATACTATGCCTTTGACAACCACTACCCCACAATAGAAAAGGGAAGCTAATTCGATTTGATGAAAGGATTCTGTGAAAGGTGTCTATTTGAATTAGGTCATGATAAAAATAAAACGGCTGCTAAAGACTTTTAGAATTAGTGACATTTAAAAAAGACATTTCACATAAACTTACATTACATTTACATTTTACACTTAACAAATATATACAAAAAGATTTAATCGTTGCCTAGGGTATCTGCGGTGCTCGTGGAATCACGATGCCCTTCTAGCGGAAGTTCAGTGGTCACTCCTGTAGCAACCGAAAACAGCGTATCTTCGCTATGTGTTCTAAGTGTGTGCTCTTCTGTATCAAGAGTTTTCAACACTCCAATAATTTCATCGGCTAGAGCATATAGTTCCTCCACAGTCTGAAAAAAATATATATGTGGTTAAATAAACGAATAGATAAAAGTTTTAACTTTGCAAATATGAATAACATAGACTTCAAACAGTTTATGGTTTTCAGCAAATATCGGTAGAGTAAAAGAAATCTAGGTTATACCTTAAACTACGAACTGGTTGTTCTACTAGAACTCTGTCTATATAATAATCGTCAAACTGTCAACACACAAAAACTAAACCAGAAGCTACCAGTTCACAATGTGATCCTATCCTACTATTATCGCTGAAACTCGATGAAATAGGACAGCACAAATAATGCGTTCTGGAATCCAAAGATAAAGGGAAAACCCTGCTCGGTAGACAGTTTGTGTATTTGGAATATGGATAGTTTTTTTTTTTTCTCTTAGTTCTGTTACACTTTTGATCAATGTTGTATGGTGTTTTTTAAAATAGGGAGACAGTTATTATCCACAACAAAATATAAAACGGAGTGAGCATAACTACGCTGTGTATGGCGACGAAAGAACGTGGCTGCTATGAAAATTATTTTTATTATATGATAAATATATTATTGTACTTGAATTGGTTATTAAGAGACTGGAGCTTGGCCAATATTGACAACTTTATGCCTAATTTTATCGTCACTTTTTAACAATGACTGAAATTCTGAAATGATCCTCCGTAGCTATGGTTGTAGTAAACATTTTTGTATCTCCAGCGTGCATCACTGGTTTCCCATAAGTCTCTAACTGCCAGAAACCAGAATATGGTCTAGTTAACTGTGTTTATTTACCAAAAGGAAGTTTGCACGACAACACAGTTTTTAACATTGTTCAAACTTCATTATTTAACCTTGTTATTGAAATTAACTAGATTTAGTTCCACTTATTGAAAACAACAGTTAGCTTAATTGTTGGTGAAGAGCAAGGAACAATTTTGTAATATTTCTAAACAGAAGCAGTAGATTTGAAACACCCGTTATATCTTCTCCTTAAAATAATACGGTATTTGTTAAAACAGGGGTCACGACCTCCAACGCAGTGATACGATGTTAAACATGACAAAAAAATTCAATACCGCAAAAACGACGAGTCATAAAACAAAAACAAATAAAACCATGTTAAAAACATGTTCGTTTAATCAACTTTAGGTTGCTTGAAAACTTAATTCTGAACTAAATACAGAAAAAGTCGCAAATGTCATCTCTGTTTACAACAGGAGAAGCCCAGAAGTAAAAATCGCAAATTATTATTTGTATTAGAAGTAAATTGTACAAGAAAGTTCGTTGTAAGCATGACTTCATTTTCTTAAGAATTTATCATCGATCTAACGTTTTTCACGTACGTCGTTAATTTTTTTTTTGTAAGTGTGATACAAATGACTCTCATGCAGTACAATAAACTATAATTTAAAAATAATATTAATAAATGTCACACACTACTGTGAATTGTTCTAGGAAAGGCACCTGTTACTGAGGGATTAATCGCAAGATTGGAAATTGTTCCGTAAATTACACTTATAGCGTATTCCTTATGAATCCTATTTTTTCAGAATTAAATACATACTACGAAATATCTAATAAGCATTTTTATTTGGACGTTTTTTCAATTAATTCGACACAAAGGAACAACAGTGATAGGTATAGGATAATAATTACAAAATTTTTTTTCGCTGAATTCGTGGTTGACGTCGGTTATTTTGAAATTTCATTTACTTTTGATTCTGATGGGATCGATTAAAATCAAACAAGAGATTAAAACATATAAAATGCACAAGATTAGGTAAGTAGTTTAAAATTTACAGAAATATTTCAGTCTATATCTATACTATAACTACAACAAATTATTAGTAATTTTTAACTTTAGAGTCAAGATGTAACAAAAAACATTTTTCAATTTGTTCTACAAGTGCGTATTTCCGTATTTGTTATATTATCTTAGATTTGTTTTTGTGATATAAATTTTAGTTCAAGTTTGAGATTGCCGGTAAGGATGCCTCTGAGTTACATCAAACTATTAATGATATAAGAACTCGTATAAATATACCACTGCACTGATTAGATCGTTAAATGAATGGTCGATTTTCTGATTTAACGTTGATGACAGTATTCTCACATTGACTCTACGCCATAAATAGACTTCATAGAGTCGTGGGCGTTTTGTGTGAGTACGTTCATCCTTCTTCTTTACAGGCGTTATTCAACTAAAATTGACCTTAAGATAGGGCTACTACAATACACATGACGGTTTAATAATTGTGCACTGAGAAATTTTTAACGTTCTGAGAGTGAAAGCAATATAACATGGTAATTCCAAGCTTACAAGATACTGATTCAAGTTTTTTGTTTTTTCATAATCGCTGGGTAGTTTTGAGTCAATTTAGGTCAAGATTACCAAATAAACAAATATTTATTGTTTTAAGAAATACGGACTATACTTGTAGAATAAGTATGTCAGTTTAATTATTTCGGCAATGATTTTTAAATCTTTCTTCTGATATCAATTTCCATAGCACCAAATAAACAACCTTCGTTTCCTTTCAGGGAAAAATGTTTGCTTCGAGGAATTTCAGGTTTCTTGAAAATGTTAAATTTCGCGCTGAGAGAAAAAACAAAACAACCCCTCGAAACTTTGAAAAATGAAAATTAAGAAAAGTCAGAATAGCGTTCTCGAGTGTTTAGGGAAGTTGATGAATGAATATCACCCTCGATTTGGTGTAATGATATTGGGATGCGAAGCAAGTGGATTTTTGGACTCAATTGCTGTTTTTGATAATTTCTTGTGTTGGTGTTGTGAGTGTAAACTCGGGTTAAAATTGGTAGGTAATTGTTTGTAATTTCAGAAAAAGGCAATTGTTTAAACAAAATTGAATCGACGCCACGGTCTACCTCAAACGAGCGTAATTTAATTAATTATAAATTGCTTCTGTAAAGCTTTGACAAATTCGTTAACACGTGTTAATTTTTACTTTCCGAACGTAAGCTAAGAAAATATAGTAATTGAATTCATCGGGCGAATTGTCACTTTCATATTTTCTCGACGTGTCATGACCTCTAGAGTGGTCTCCCGTTTCCGTCTATCTGTGGTCTGTGTCGATCGCCTGTCTGTTGATCTGTCTGTCTGTCTGGCGTCTGTATAGTTTTTTATTGGATACATAAACTCCGAAACTATAGGACCGATTGTTGTCAAATTTTGGATGTATATTAGGAATATCATATAGATGGTAAAACGCTAACCCAAATTTAGCCAATGATCCCCACCAACAATTTGATGACGTCATTTCAAGGATTCTATTTAAAAATGATTTACATGTTAATTAGCTTTCAGTTTAGTCTCTAAACGTTCAAATTTTCGCAGTAATATAATAACTTTGTGTTACCAAGACGGACTAAAGCATTGTGGTGTAGTGTGTTTTTGAGGAGAATGCCTACATGCAGTCACACGATCTATGACTTGGAACTTGGCAGTTTCTTTTTTTTTTCTTGTATTAGTTATGTGCTGTGACAAGTTTTCTTTTGTATTATGACTAGTATTATCTATATTGATGATTTCATCACAAATTCTGTATTGATCAAATTCAGACCGAGTCACCCCATTTCCTCGAAAATGTCAGAATACGCACGTCTTCATTTAATGATGATAAAATATGAATTATAAACTTGGGAACATTTTGTTCTATTGTGGATTAATGAATAATCTTAGTCCTCTGTTTTGAGGATACAAACTCATTCAAATCAAACTAATTTATACGTGACATTATTTCGATGTATAAACATAAACACTTGAGTTAACTTTGTTATTAGTGTTGACAGAACATTCTATTTCATTGGTCATCTGCTTTAAAAAATATATTGTACATTCTCGGTACTTGGGAGCGCAAGAGTGAAATGGCGCTCCCACGGCGCCGGATATGCGGGGGTGTTATTTATGCCGCTGGTTTTACTTTAGAGAGATTATCAGAAAATGAAAATCACAAAATCAAATTTTATAATTTTTTAACGAAGCTGGATTTGTCAAATTATACTTCAAGGACGAAGGAAGTTCTCACGAAATAACCTTCCATCATTTTTTTTATTGTTTGTAAATGCACAGTTGATGTTAAGATTTTTAAACTGTCCATGGTTCTAAAACAATTTAACAACAATAATAATGTAAATGTTCAAGCAAAGCATGTGACTAATTCACTTCTTTCGGTTTAACTAGGAGTAATATTTTTCTCACGATTTTGTCTTACAGTTCTGGCTATTTTTATTTAAGTTATTATTTTTTCCACACGTCATAGCTTCTCACTCGCAATTGATAGGTAATAGCTCATTAATGGCATTTAAATTGATGTTCAATGTTGATTAATTTTGCGAGAAAGGATCTTGCAAACTTACAGCTAAATTAATGTTATTAAATATCTTGGATTAGAAATTAATTTTATGTTTATGTTGTCTTATGATTATGTGACATTTTCTCACATTCCAATTATTTTCTCATAGCTTGAAGTTTAAGGTCTAGAACTGTTATTTCGAATTTGACAGTATTTAATTTGTGCATGTTGTGTTTAATTCATATTGTTTCGTTTCATGTGTTTATGTTGTTATGAACTTCATTTTCACTTCATCTATGACTTAAACTACTGCCTAATTTAGCATGGTGTAAATTCTTTATTTTTGGAAATTCTTGACAGATTGTCTCTTAATTTAAGTTTTGCTTGTGTCCTTTCTTGTAATTAAATATAACACTCATTTTATTATCACCAAATTCGGGAAATTCAACTTTAAGCGTTTATTTAAACGCAAGGGTCGCCGGTTTTCCACTGTCTATGAATCAGGTTGTCTAGTTGGCGCTTCCTCCTTTGAAGGATGGAATTAAGTCTTTGGAATGCGAGTATTTTTTATCACTCAACATTGTAACTTGAGTATTTGCATCGAGTTACTTTATGACGAATTCTTTTCTTTTATTTGTGTGCTGGATATTCAAATACTTATTTTGATTTGTAAATTGTATTTCATTTATTTTTAGAAGTGGGAACAGGGTTG